TTGTGTCAATCTCTTTCCTTTGTCCTGACCCTTTTACATTTTTAAATTTTAAACTTTCTAAACCCTTTTAAACTTTTGCCACCCTTCTTCTATTCATTACCCCTTTTAGTTTAGTGTTGATTCCTTTGTAGTGTAGACATAGACTCTACTATGCTGACTGCCACCCCTGCTGTCCTGCCAGATCAGTAGTTACAAGCAGAACTAGCTTAATATGTGTAGACCTCCATCCAAGAGGCCTTTGCCAACCATGTGCCCCCAGCCCCTTTGGAACCTGTTCTGATTGTTCTGGAAGTCACAACCTGTTCCAGAAAGAAAGTGCATGTAGCCTGCCCTTTGGACTTCAATGGGCAGCACTTTGAGGACTTCCAGCACCAAGTCAAACTATATGTGGCTGCTGCTTTGACCAATCTATCCTCAGATCTTGATTGTGTCCTATTTGTCCTCTCCTTCATAAAGGAAGGCAATACAGCCACCTGGGCCCAGAACTGGATCAAAGGTCATTGGATCAGAAGTCTGATCCAACTTCAGAACAATGAGTCATACTCAGAATTCATAGGGCAGCTCTGTACTTCCTTCATTGATCTGAATGAGAAGTACAATGTACAGAACAAGCTTGTGTCTCTGTGACAGGGCAAACGTTCTACTGATGCCTTCTTTCAGGAATTCAATATCTTGGCCCAGAAGGCAGGATTCACACTCAGGTTTGATGATGTCCTTATTAGAATACTTGAAAAAGCTCTTCACCTGGAACTGGTCAATAAGATTCTTAGAATGATGCTGGAACTAGTCACCTACACTGAGTGGAAGATGTGCACCATCTCCTTTGACCAAGCCACAGCTTGGATGTGTCAAGTCTGTACAGAATGCTTGCACATGTGTCCAGCTCTGACAGTTCTGAGCCCTCAGATTGATCTGCCTGTAATTTGCAATCAATCTGTTCTGATAGACATTAGAGAAGCCTGAAAGCAAGGAGCATGCTTCACCTGCAGAAAGTCAGGGCACCAAATTAAGGACTGTCTGTAGAAGCAACAGTATATCTGTCAGGTCATTAGAGCAATGATGAGTGACAAGCAGGATTTGTGGTGAGAAGCCTTTTCTACAAATCCAGAAGTCACCTCAGAACTCCTAGACCCTGACTACATACTCTAGGATTTTGTGGAGGCCCAACAGTGAATGCAGTGCTGAAGGGCTATGACTTGGATTTTTTAATAGCCACTTTTGATTCAATAGACACTGTAGGATTAGAAGTAAATAAAGTAAGAAAAGTAGAAAAAGTAGAAAAAGTAGAAAAAATAAATCAACAAAATTATTTATTAGATAGAAAAAAGTTGAAAACAAAAGTAGATAGTTCTCCTATTTCTTCTGATTCTTTTGATTCTTCTCTTCACACTTCATCCAAGTCTAAATCTGCACAATCTGACCTGCTACTTCTGTGTTCCAAGATCTCAGAACATTCGGAACGTTACCCAGCCCTGTTCACCACTCAGTAGTTTGTCTGTAGTATCAAGCAGGGATGGCCTCAGCTGAGTTCACAGCTGAGGACATGGGTCTGTCCTTGTCAAAAGAGAGAGGTTAATGAGGAAATGTTAGTGCATATACTCACCCTCTTAGACAACAAGACTGTGCAAGCTGTATGTTCCCTTCAGAACAAGTAGCAGTTCATCTGAGGACATTCTGGACACTAGCTCTAGGTCCCTGTCCTCTTGGCTCCCTTCTCAGGATCCCCCCAGATCTGAACAACAGTTCTAGTAGACAGTAGATACACTAGTTTGTGTATCAATGAGGCCTTTGTGCAGGAACACCACCTCCCTACTCAATGTGTTCCACTTCCAATCCTAGTATACAATACAGACAGAACCCTGAACCAGAATGGTTGGATCACTGAGTTTGTCCAACTACAGATGACCATTCAGGATCATAAGGAAAGCATTGAGTTTGGAGTCACTAACCTTGGAAAGACAGACATCTTCATTGGATTCGAATGGCTCAAGACTCACAACCCTACTATTGACTGGTTGGAACAGACACTTGCATTCAATCAGTGTCCCAAGTCTTGCAGCTACCTTGTACCACTGTTCCAAGTGGATACAGACACTTCTAATGTTACTAACAGTTCTGATGAAGGTGACCAGTTGTTCTTCTTCAACTGGGATAGATATGTGGATACATATTCTAGTCAAGGTGGAATAGAGTCAATCCAAAGGATGTCCAAGACAGAACCAGTCCAGAACCCCCTTGGAACAACTCTACTCTGGAACACACACAGACCCAGCCTGCTGGATTTCATCTGAGAGTTCCCCAAAGTCTTCAGTGAAGAGGAATTCAACCAGCTTCCTGAACACTGTCTCTGGGACTATACAATTGAATTGACTAAGGGTTTCCAACCCAAGGATTGCAAGGTCTACCTGCTCAACAGAGACAAGTAGGAGGTGCTTGACAAGTTCCTTCAGGAAAATCTTCAGAATAGCCAGATCTGACCCTCAAAGTCCCCTATGGCCTCCCCTTTCTTCTTCATCAAAAAGAAAGATGGGAAGCTCCACCCAGTCCAGGATTATCATTGTCTCAATAAGGGTACTGTCAAAAACAAGTACCTGCTCCCCCTGATTCAGGAGCTCATTAATAAGACACATACATCCAGGGTTTTCACTAAGTTGGATGTTTGATGGGGATACAATAATATTCAGATCCAAGACAGAGATGAGTGGAAGGCTGCATTCCAAACCAATCACAGATTGTACAAACTAACTGTAATGTTCTTTAGACTAACCAACTTGCCCACAACGTTCCAGTCATTCATGAATCACATTCTCACAGATCTGATTGACTCAGAGCACATTAGTGTGTATCTGGACAACATTCTGATCTTCACCCAGACAGTCGAGCACCATTACTGACTGATCCAAGCAGTTCTACAATAGCTCCAAGATAATAAACTGTTCCTCTGAGAAGCAAAGTACTCTTTTGTGCAGGAGTCAGTAGATTATCTAGGCTTTGTGATTGGTGGAGGAGAGGTCTGCATGGATCCAGCAAAGGTGACTGTAGTTTGGAACTGGCTACAACCTCAGAACCTGAAACAGGTCCAAGCATTCCTTAGGTTTGCAAACTACTACCAATACTTTATTCAAGGCTTTAGTACCATTGCCCAGCCCCTTCATGATCTTACTGGCAAGGATGTTCCTTAGTAATGGAATGATCAGCAGTAGTCTGTGTTTGAGTCCCTCAAGCAGGCCATCACCAGCAAGCCTGTATTAGTAGTTCCAACAGTTGCAGACAAGTTCTGAGTCAAAGCCAACTCTTCTGACTTTGTGAATGGAGCAGTACTGTCCCAGTTCATTGACAGAAAGTAGCATCCAATAGTGTTCCAATCAGAATCCCTCTCTGTAGCAGAACAGAACTACCCTATCTATGACAAGGAACTCCTTGCAATTGTCTGTTCCCTAGAAGAGTAGCATCAATATCTCCTCAGTGTAGTGTAGAAGTTCAAGATCTAGAGTGATCACCTTAATCTCTAGTACTTCTGGGTGCCTCAGAAGCTCAACTACTGTCAGGCCTGCTGGATGTTAGAACTGTAGGACTACAACTTTGTGCTGACCCACAAACCTGGAACACAAATGATGAAAGCTGATTTACTCTCAAGACAAGCAGGTCATGAAAGGGGGGAGAATGATAACAAAAATCTTGTTCTCCTAGACAATTCCTGTTTTGTGTCTGAGACAATCTGAGAGATCTGACTCAAATCTGAGGATGTTGACTTTGTCACCCACATACAGCAAGCTCTGAGACACACACAGGACTAGGTTGTAGTGAAGCAACTAGAGAAGCAGGCTAGGGATTGGGAGGAGGATGAGGATGGACAGGTTTACTAGGAAGGCCAACTGTACGTTCCAAAGGATTAGAAACTGCAGGAGGACATTGTCTGAGCTCATTACAACAATCTGACCACAGGACATCCAGGCCAACACAAAACACAGGAACTCATCACTCAGAACTACTGGTGGCCCAGAATGTAGAGGGAAATCCTGAAGTACATGACTGGTTACAATACGTGCCAACAGACTAAGGCCCACCAGACAAGGGTTCAGGCTCCCCTACATCTGCATTGGATCCCAGATCACCCTTGGGAAGAAGTCTCAGTAGACCTGATTAGTGAGCTACCTGAGTCTCAGGGTTACAACACTATCTGTATGATTGTTGACTGATTCTCCAAGCAAGTCTATACAGTTCCAACCTGAACAGAACTTACTTCTGAAGGTATGGCATGCATTTATCAGGATCATGTCTTCCAGTTGCACAGACTCCCTCAGAAGCTCATTCATGATTGTGGACTGTAATTTGAGTCGAAATTCATGTAGGACTTGTATACACTTCTTAGAATTCAAGGGAACCCTTCTACTACTTATCACCCACAGACTGACAGTCAAACTGAGCAAGTCAATCAGGAGATCAAGCTCTACCTCTGAATGTTCATCAATCATCAGCAATTGGATTGGTCTGAATAGCTAGCTCTGACAGAATTTGTGCACAATAACTGGCAACACTCTACAACAGGACAGTCCCTGTTCTTCCTCAATCATGGGAGACATCTGTACCAGGGGACAGTTCTGAACCAGAACAGTAGTTCTGAATCTGTAACAGACTTTGTAGAACAGATGCACAGAACCAGGGAGGATGCACAAGCTCTTTTGGAAAAGGTAGTGTAGGTTATGAAGCAGAACTATGATTGGAAGAGGTCTGCAGCCAAGGATTACCAGCCTGGTGACAAAGTTATGCTGGAAGCCACTAACCTGACTATGGATTGCCCAATGAAGAAGTTGGACAACAAGCACTTTGAACCCTTCATTATTGAAAAGAAGGTCAGCACCTCTGCCTACAAACTCCAACTTCCAGCAACATGGAAGTACATACACCCAGTGTTTAACAAGGTTCTACTGTCTTGATACTATGATCCAGGTTTTCCTTTGCAACAAAGACCCCCACTGCCTCCACCAGAACTCATTGGTTCTGAACCAGAATACAAAGTAGAATACATAGCAGATGCTAAGCTGGTGTGCAGAAAGCTCAAGTTCCTTATTCACTGGAAGGGATACCCAGTTGAAGAACACACTTGGGAACCTGCTGAGAATCTCACCCATGCTGCTAAGGCAATCTAAGACTTCTATCAACTTCATCTGGGTGCTCTGCATCAACTCCATTGGGGGGTGGGAGGGAAGAAGGCATAATGCTTCACTTTAAGGTATTGAGAACATATCTTTGCACTTCCATCCCATGCATCAATCTAACTTCCCTCCCCTCTGTCAGCGACAGCATAGAGGGGACCCGAAGGCTCAGCGAGGGGACCCAGGCTACAACTATCCTACACAACAGAAATACAGAACGCAAGCACTGGAACGTAGTCAGAACTTGCAGAACAGGCAGAGAGAGAGAGTGAGACAAGAGTAGAGTATATAGAGTGAGCCTAAGAGTACAGGACTACCTGGAGTAGACGAGATCAAGACTACAGGACCAGTCTGATCTTGTATGCCTATATATACTAAACTACACAAGAGCACTCAGGGAGCATGAGCCACTAAGAATGATGAGCCACAAAGAATGAAAGAAAGGAATGTCAAAGATAAAGGTACAAAGAATGAAGGGATGGATAAAGGGTAAGAGACCATAGAATGATACAAAGAATGAAGGGGTGGTCAAAGGAATGGAATGATGAAGTAAGGAAGGGTAGTAGCAAGAGTCAGCATGCATATAGTTCATAGACAGTGCTCCTGAGGGACGGAAGTCCTGAGTTCCAGTATGGAAGGGTGCAGAACCCTTAGAACTGAAGGTATGAGAGTGGAGAACTGTAACATCACCCCCCCTCTAAAACCAATCATCCTGATTAGTGAGCATTGGGCTTGGTCAGCAGCTCAGGCATAGGTCAGAACAGTAGGGTTTGGAAATCTGTAAGGTATTTTATCTAAAATCAACCAGTCAGCAACCAATATCAGTCACAAGTATGAGCAATCGAGGGAGTAGCCACAATGATAGTAATGATCACTGCCAGAATGTACACATCACTTTGCAGAACAAAAACCAGGGAAAGCTTGACTCACATTCTAACAAGCCAGGCCACAGAGTTGCTGCCGATGGGAATGGCAGCGACTTTACTTCCAAAGAAAAGGACATGCTCAGGGATACTCTTGTACAAGACATTCAAGCAGGCCTAAGTCTAGCCAGTTCCTGTTCTGTTGAGCAATTGGAGGGACCATTGAAGGTACTGGAAAAGCGCCGGGAGGCACTAGAGAAGGAATTGCAAACAGTTAATGCCGAAATTAAACAGTGCAAGAATTTATTGAACGAGGACAATGCTGATAGTGAGAAAATCAAGAATAGTCAGACAGAGTTAGATGCGCGACTGGGACGAAAGGAAAGTGCGCAACACTTTATACATTTGGCCCAGGAAACCATAAAGATTATAGAATCTACGGAAAGCCGGCAGAAGGTTTTGGGTAGTATTTTCGGGGTCTCCTTACAGGAACAAGTAAAGAGCAAAAACATTGACCTTGATAAACTCTTCAGGGGAGCTAAATCGAAAATAGGTTTGAGCCTGGGATTTTTAGAAAAGATGGGTGTGCAGAAATGATGTAGAGAAATGTATGCTCAGTAATATAGGTGCATTAGTATGTATTGACATTGAACAACTCGTGTGAGTAAATAATACTGAGGTGTAAAAGTGTATTTCCATTGGCAAGGCATTAATATTGTTCGTTTGGAAGAGCGCTAGAGTATCTTGTAGTACCTCGGCCTGCTAGTGCATCCATCTGTCGTTGGAAACTCATATTGACATACACTTTGCCAAACCTAATTACGCAGAGTATATCAATCGATCTCTAACAGAGTTTATATTCACCTTCCAGAGTCCAGAGAAGTTATGATAACTCATAAGCTCAGTTATCTAGTGCAAATGTTATTTATTCTATTCTTATTGCATGTTCTAAAATCATACATTCGAGGTACAATATACGCCCTTATATAATACGACGAACGTGCATAGAAAATGTCTATATGAGGTTGGAAAGATCGTCTATGCCTTTTGGAGTACGCAAAGTAAGTCTCTGTTTATTTAGGGGTAGACAACTCAATTGTGCAATATAGTGCAAAGCTACCCTTTCAATAATTACAAGAGAAGAGTCTCCACCTGTTCTCCCTGCATATTGCAGTCTGCATTAACACTATCAGCTACAGTGAATATGGAGAATCAAGGACATAGTCGCCGTGACAGCAGCCCAAGGCCAAAAGATCACCAGAACCATCAACGTACCGGATCGCATGCCAGAGAACAACCAGTAAGGCATAGTTCCAATCACGAAAAGGGTGGACACATGCAAGTCGCTGCTGCTAGTGGGGACAGAAGCAGCTCTCCGTTGAAACAAGAGAATGGAACCAGGGATAAAATTGTACAAACAATACAGAGTTGCCTGGACGTGGCTGTTGTATTTTCCCCAGAGCTGTTTGAAACGTTATTGGCATCATTGATAAAAGGAAGGAAAGAGGCAGAGGACCAGTTCAACGCCAAGATTCAGCGCTGCAATGATATGAAAAAAAGCGCGGAGGAGGATAAGACAAATATCCAGAAAAGCCGCAAGATGTTAGAAAGGCGAAAAAATCGGAATGAAAATGCTGAAAAGTTCATACGTATGTTGTACGAGACCAGCAAAATCGTTGAATCTGCGGAAAAACGGTACAAGGAGCTTGACGATCTCATAGGAATGGTCGGGTTTGCTCATAATAATTTCAACCAGCTATTCAAGAAAGCTAAAGAAGATATTCAGGCTATCCAGGACTCTTATGGAACAGCGAGCAATACACAGAAATGACGCACTGGGATATATGCTATGGGAGCGTTGGTCTGTATCGAGCATCTCTTGTGGTTTGAATGTGACAGAGTGTAGGAGGCTGTAGAGCATTTGGTTAGTTAAAGTTTTTGCTTGCTTCAAAGAGCATTTGAGTATTTTGTATATACTTTTGATTTGCATCGAACTTCGAAATATGTATGCATAATCTTACTGAATATGATTCCATGAAGTTTAGCTTGAATGCACACAACCCCAGTCTGCCCAGGTCAGGCAAGATTTAATAGACGACTCAGCTGATTAACCAGGTTGTTTAATCATTTATATTTCTGTCTCCCTAACATACACATGCTGACATGTCCAATGTACCTTTGATTCATTGAGAAAGAGGATAATCAGTTGCATACAGATGGACATCCAACATACAGATGGACATACCCGTCATCCTTCGTTTTCCAGCCTATAGCTTAAGCTCCCTCCTATACTTAACAAATGCCCTTAAGTTCTCAAGCACTTCCTCTCCACGCGCTCTCAACTCTCTTCCTCCTTCTTTCTTCTTGTCCACACTGCGTACGGCACGGCGTACGTTGGGGATAGCGTTAGCGAGAGATTGGAGGCAGTTGTGCTGACGGAAGTTGACGTCGTAGGGTGAAATTTCGTCTGAGTAGATATCGATTATTGAAGACGCTGCTTGGAAGATTGGTTCAGGGGAAACCTGATTTTGAGTTTGCGAAGGTGTAGAGGTAGAGGTGGGAGGAGAGAGAAGTGAGAGGAGGTAGTTTGAGATGACTCGGTTCGCTTCGATAAATTTCGCGTTTGCTGAGTTTAGCGTTTGGTATATTGCAAGAGACTCAAGTGCGCCGATGCATTTGACTTTGATCTGTGCATCTTGAGATGCGGAGCAGAGTTGGATAAGGAGTGTGATTTGTTCTTCCTTTGGTTCCTACAAAGTTATATTGAAAAACTCGGTCGACCGTTTTAGAGCTAAAATAAAAAAAAGTAATGCGACTTACGATGCAGCCTTTCCATATTCCACCAACGCCCCACATAACGCCGACAGCAACTTCCCAAATCTCGCGCCTACGTTCTTGCCCCCGTCCGCCTTCTAGTCCTACGATACTCAAAGCAGACCACAGAGCATCCCATAATTGCCGACCATCCTCGACGTCCGCCCTAAGTTCTCTCGTTCCTGCGCTGCCACCTTGCTGCTCTTCTTGTGCAAGGGACAGCGCAAGACAGGCATTGTTCAAGCACTCGAGCGCGCTAATGTGGATGGCGCTGAGGGCGGACGTTGTTGGCAAGTGCGTAGGCACCTTTTGTTGAGCAGCCGTGGATGCGGAACTTGTGGTCGATGGGAGAGGTGGGAAGGACAGTGGAGTTGGATGAATGAGGGGTAGGAGAGATGGAAGGATTGACGGGAGAAAAGAGGTTGCGGAGATAGAGGTGCCGTTTGGTTTTGGTTCAACTTCGCCTTCGGGATCGGAAATGTCCATCTCTACATCTTTGCCGTTCGCTTCTTCATCCCCGTCAATATCATCACCGTTTTCGTCTTCGTCAATATCCACATCTTCGTCTTCGTCATCCCCTTCTTCCGATGCAGGTTCAGGATCAGGCAAAGTCGCACAAATACCCGTCAATATCTCCAAACCCAACTGGACATTCCTCAACTTCGCCTCGATCCCCTCCAATTCCCTCTCTGAGGGACTTTTGTGATCCGATTTAGGCGCATTCTTCAATGAAGTCTTATTCCTGTCGACATTTGGCTCTTCATCTATCCCTTGAACAAGTTCCGTCACACGTTCCGATGCTTCTTTCAATGAGATTGAAGACAAGATCGGTAAGACGAGAGGAAGGATGACGGTCCTATCAATGTCAACCACAGAAGCAGCTGAAGGTGCTGGTATGGGTTGGATATTCCGTAGGATGCCTGCTGCGAGGAGCTTGAGGGTATCGAGTCTAACCTCGGCAAGTTCTTTTACTTCTGCGGATGCTGAATTAGGCAGAGAATCGCCTTGCGAGACGGACAAGATGCAAGAGGTGTATGAGGAGTTAGAACGAAGTTCGTCGATCGCGGGTGGGTTATCATCTGTTAGTACGTACAGGCACTGAGCTGCAGAAGTTAATTTGAAGTCAAAAAGATATCTGGATGAGTGCGGATTAGACCTACCTGCTGCAGCGACTGTTCTTGAAGGTAGCTTGTTGCGATTCTCGAGGAACGCCATGAGGAATGGGATAAGATGAATCGCGTTAATAGCATTTAGAGCTTTGTTCGACGTCTCTCTAGTACTCTGAGTCTCAGTTTGTGTAATAGGAAAACAGAACTCACGATAGACACCATAGTAATGTTATGACATTCTCAGCAAGTTCGTAGACGAGTCTGGATGCGCTTTCTGGTGCGGATTTTGGGGACGTGACAATATGATGAAGAGCAGTGGAAATCTGAAAATAAATTAGATACTGTGTGGGTGAGTTAGCAGACATTCTAGAAATTAACTGGCTGACCTTCGGAATAAACGTCTGCAGAGGAGCAAGAATATTTTTGTTATACATCTCTGCACAGATATCATATCCACCATCTATACAAAGATTCCTATGCTGTACCTTAGCTAATAATCGTGTTTGATGTGCAAGGTAGTATACATACCTTAAGGCGCCAGATGCTTCTACTACGACTTCCTCCACACTGTCTGATAGGCGTGTTATAAGCACACCAACAATGTTCTTGCCTTGCAGCAGGCGTCGCGTTGACGGATCATTTTGGATGAGATTGGAGACTGCAGAGCATGCCCAAGTTCGTTCTAGGGCATCAACGCTTTCCAGCTGCGTCAATAGACAATTATGAAACGGTCAATGCCTCGAACACAAGGCTGTGTCGTATTAGCAACAGACCTTTTGGATTGTAGGCAATACAGCGTCCTTGTGGGCTGATGTCGCCGCTGCTGCTTCCAGGCCTTTTGGTAAATGCGAGTCGGGCACGCGTACAGGGTTATGCCGCCTCACAGCGCGCTTTTTCTGTGCTTTGCCCATTCCAGAGAGATACTATCAACGACTTCTCAATACTCGAGGTGGTGTATACATGCCAACAAAATTTCTGGTCGATCCTCGTGTGAATTACGTAATAAAAACGGAAAGGCATGCCGCCAGCACGGGCCGGGGCAACATTCCGCTCGTCTTCTATTAAGTTCTAACTTTCTTCATCAAAGAACAACCACTGCGGTCGACAGCTCACCATAGGGATGCGTTACCCTGCTCTGTCGCTTGGCATCGATATCTACCCTTCACGAAAGCGCTGAACCGGTCTTTATTATCGGGACATATGGCGACCCGGTTGAAATGATGTGATCCCCCAGATCGGCTTGAAACTTGGAACAATCTCGGGCTGGTCTTCCAACTGGACTTAACGAACCTGCGCTGTGTGAACACACGACGTAGGCGATAGCTGATACACATGATAGAGGCTGATTCTTGTGACGATTGGCTCGACGCTGCAATGTTACGTGCGAGATGCTTGCGTGGCGCGGAGGCTCGGCCGCGCCCGCCCGGATGAATGAGACAAGCCTGCGCTCGTAAGATCTCCATTCTACTTACGCTCGCACTTGTGTCTCAGCGTCATGAAAAAGAGTACTTATGGACAGCTGGCGCAATGGGGCATCTGCGTGACATCTCCGCCGTCGGTATCTACGAGTCATCCTGTTTACGGCTTACTGTGCGATCTGTGATTCTGCCAGGCTATAAAGTCGTGTTTGATTGGACGCGCGTGGGTAACTCTTCGCTGCCCGCATATTTCACGTAATCGTACCACTTCAACAAAACATTAATCTCCTTCCATCGTTCTGTGCCACGACAAGGCGCCGGTTTCATCGCACTCTCTATAAGTCATCCGATACTGCATATTATCCTTATTTATCAGCCCACCATTCTCTGTGGCGAGCCCCTGTGCAATGTTGTAAACCACCGTCAAAGCTCGAGCACGACTTTGCTCTCTTTCCTCCATCCTGGCCGTCAAGATTCAAAGCATTGCTCTCAGCGATGGACGTAAACTTAAGGCGCGTTGTGGTTGGTGTTGTAGGTTTCTCGATGGCGGTTGTTGGTTTCTTCTTGGTGTGTCAAATATATTTTTTGCTATGTTATTCATATGTTAACCTCCTTTGATTAGAGTGTTACGGTCCCTGTTATATCCGCGGTCTTGCCGCAGTTTCAGCCGCAAGGAACTGAGCGTACGCAGACTATTTTGCGAAGACGAATTCAGGAGCGGGAAAGTCGCGATTTACATCGACAAGAAACGTCGCCCGCTGCACATCACGATGTTGTGTCAGAGGCGGGTACGGCGGAGTCGGTGGAATCCTGTAATACGGCTACTACTGATCTGTCCTCCGCTCACCATGCTACATGCACGAGTCCTCCTTCCCTGACAAATTCACCTGAGTCCATGTCTCACGCTCTCCCTCTGCCAACCGCAGCAGCGCACGCCAGATGCGAACAGCAGCACTTTTGCACGCCTCAGAAATGCTCAAATCATGCTTCTACTTCTACTCCAGTCCCACCTGCCCAAGTGAATACCGAAAAGTCCGCGGGAGCGAGAATTGGGAAAAGGAATTCTCTTCCTACTCGCGCAGTTACTTGGCTCAAGACTTCGCCGCAGCCTGCATTTCTTCATTTGCAACCTTCGCCGCGATCCTCTGGAGAGGGTCCGCGTCCATCTATCGTATCAGCTCCACGTGCAGCGACATTTGATGAAAATTCCGTTAGTGGACAATTAGACAAACAGCATGCACCGCGCAGAGCGAATACTTTCTTTGGCTTGCGGCGATCATCTAGACTTGCCGCCCGTGCAGGCTCAGAGCCTGCACCTGCACCTATGTCAGAATCTATACAAGGAGGGAGGAGTTCCGAACCCGCGTCACCATTGACAGTCGCGTTTGATTTACATGACATTTCGCCGGATGCTGAAGCCAACGTTCGCGAACAGAAGAGACGAAAGTCTTATTGTGGGTCTTGTCTTATGCTCTTTTCATGTTTTCATGGCTCATTCCGCCACTTTTCCTAGTTACACGACTGAAGAAGAAGCATTCAAGCAAAGGCATGGAAAACGACGTCGGACGACATACCGAGCTACATCATCGTGATGCCGTTGTCGCCCCGAATAATTTTTCACAGACGAGCGAGCGCGGGCGCTCAAACGAGAAGCGGTCTAAGCGACGTATCTGTGCCCGTCACCGTAGACCAGCCACAGCACCCTCAGAACCAGTGCCGCGGACGAATCCGTACGAGGCACCTTATTATTTCCCGACACCAGCTTCTCCAGATGCGGTCAATTATGTTCGACTCGCGCGTACGGAAAATCGACGTACTTCTGTCAGCCCTTCTGGAGCATCTCGTATCCCTTATCGAAATGAACTTCGCCCGTCCCAACCCATCGTGGATATTTCTTCCTCTGTTGTAGCGCACGATGGGGCGTCGCCTGTCTATACTGATAACGTCGTGACATCGGCACCTCAAAACAACGCCGGAACTAATACTAATTATGCTATTTCGACAAATGCGCAACATCGCAGGAATACTTCAATGGCATCTTCATCACCCACGATGGAAGAATTTGGAGTCCTTCGTAATCGCCCAATGCCCGTGACAGGTAATGCGGGTTCACCGTCTTAATATCGTAAGGATCGCACCCTCGCCTAGACTGCGCTCAGTGCTCTTCATCTCCTCGGACAATTGTACGCAATACTTGCGATGGAGGTGTTCTTCATCCGCTTTATTTTTAATTCGTCTGTTTTCGCATTTCACATTGTATGTATAGATTTAACCTGCTCCACTCCGTCATCGCATTGCATTGCATCGTGTCACATACGCTTTCGTTTCGTATTCTCTGTTCTGCGAGTATTATTCGCACCTTGCATCATCCATGCATTCAAATTATTGCTGTCATTTATTCTGTTCCTGCATTTGCACGTTTTTCGTAGTCGACGTAGTGCCTAATTGTCTAGGCACAGTGAGCTGTTACTGCTCTCGTTCTTACGTGTACCAATTACTCTCCTAATTCTTGTAATAATCCAATCTAATATCCATTATATCTGTGTGGGCATTAGAGTTTGCCATATTCACGTGACGGGAACGAGATTGGCGTCTCGTGCAGATCAGCCTTGTCTACGCCTTTTCAGACTCTCAGTTCTTTCTGTCACTACTATCCTCAGTGCTGTACGCATTTTTCGTGCCCTTCTCGACATGGACACTATAGACAATACAGATGTACCCGCTCCTGAGAGCACAGAAGAGGCACAGCCATTGACTGGCAGCCCGGAAGGAGCAGCACAAGCAGCCACCGAAGATACCCAGGTTGAGCAACGGGAAGAGCAAGACGCTCAAGTGCCGCCTCCGTTAGAGAGTGGACGACCGCTGAATGTCACAGATGCTTTGAGCTACCTTGACGCCGTGAAAACGCAGTTCGTAGACAGACCTGATGTTTATAATAATTTCTTGGATATCATGAAGGACTTCAAGAGCCAGGTGTGAGTGTACCTACATTCTCTGCATGGGGGTGAGGAGTCTGATCTATGCGATTCAGAATTGATACACCTGGAGTTATAGAGCGTGTATCTATGTTGTTTAGGGGCCACAATGACCTCATCCAGGGATTCAACACGTTCTTGCCACCCGGATATCGCATCGAGTGTACAAGCAACGCTCAGGAAACAACCACAACGATTACAGTCACAACGCCCGCAGGAACAACTACGCAGTCTACAGAGAATCATCAACCGCCAACGAATATAGTATCTGAACCCAGTCCGGCGGTATCGCCTCCGCCGCCTCCACCCGCTGTCCAAATTCCCACAATCGCTCCCCAGCCAGAGCCTCCGACGGCTCCATCTGGTTCCCCTATGCCGTTTGGCACTTCCTCTGCGGCGTCAGCGTTGAACGGTATGGGAGGAAATTATAACGGACAGGATCGTGGACGTCAGGGCCCTGCTGGCGCTCATGAATTCCACCATGCTATTCAGTATGTGAACAAGATCAAGACACGATTCGAGGATGACCCAGAGACGTACAAACTCTTTCTTGATATCTTGCACTCGTATAGGAAGGAACAGAATCATGATGATGTATGCCGTCCTTTTGAGCAGATATTCAGACCTTGGATTGTACTGACTAGTTTTTGTTAATAGGTATACTACAAAGTCGAGGTCTTGTTCAGGGACGCGCCAGATCTATTGGCTGAGTTCAAGAACTTCTTGCCAATGGATGGAAGTGGACCAGTATTTGGAGCAGACACGATACAAGATTCGACGTGGAATGAGGTGTCTGAAAAGAAAGGCTCTGGAGCGCCTAAAAGGAAAAAGAAGCCTGCGGAGAAAGAGATACAACCTGCCCCGCAGACATCATCCTCAACTACAAAACCTGCTACTGGCCGGGTAAGTAAAGGCGGCTTTGACATTGTTATAGACTGTTAGCTAATGGTGTGATAAAGACGAAGAAATCTAAGCATGCGCATGTCAAAGATGGTATGATTCCTCCTTCACCTTCCTACCAACCCTACAGTCGACCACCATCTCCGGGTCATCAGCCACACTCCCACCATCACCAGCCACATACCGGACCTGCAGCATCACAAGGTAGCAGCACGGGTCCGTCAGGGGCGGGCGGCGCCAGTTCTCAGGACGAGCTCACCTTCTTTGACCGTGCCAAGAAGGCACTGGAATCGCGGGAGATGTATGACGAATTCCTCAAGCTCCTGAATTTGTTTTCGCGCGAGATCATCGATGCCCGCACGCTCATCGCTCGTGCAGAGGCCTTCTTGCACGATCCAGAGCTGTATGTGCAGTTCAAGGACCTTATGGGTTGGGATGCAAAGCGTGAAGGGGAAAATGAAGGTCCGCCGGGGTCTATTAGGAGCTGGACCGCACCATCTACGGAGACTGAGGAGAGATTCGGGAAAAGCTACAGGCGGTTGCCTCTTGCGGTATGTGTGTTTCACTGTACTACCACTTTTTGTGCCTGACTGTGGCTTTAGGAGACGAAACTCGCTTGCTCCGGCAGAGATGAGCTATGCAGAAGTGTACTTAATGATGTCTGGGTTTCTCATCCTACCTGGGCATCAGAAGAGTCGGGTTTCGTCGCACACAAGAAGAATTCATATGAAGAGGCACTGCACAAAAGCGAGGAGGAGCGTCATGAGTTCCAATTCTACATCGACATTATCACGCGCACGATTGCGCTGCTACAGCCATTGCACGATAGAATTATGGAAATGAGTGCCGAGGAAAGGAATGCCTACCGCTTGCCACCAGACTTTGGTGGATCGAGCAAGAGCATCTACCATAGAGCAATCAAAAAGGTATATGGTCGTGATGCCCAAGGGCTTGAGGTGCTGCAGGCGCTACAAGATTGTCCTGCGATCGCAGTGCCTGTCGTGCTGCCGCGCCTGAAGCAGAAGAATGAGGAATGGCGCCGCGCGCAACGCGATTGGAACAAGGTCTGGCGCGAGGTAGACGCGCGTAATTTTTACAAAAGCTTGGACCATCAGGGAATCACGTTCAAGGCGAACGACAAAAAGTATATTACGAACAAGAGCTTGGTGACCGAAATCGAGGCCGCCAAGGTTGAGTTGGCAGAGCGCGCCGCGCGAGCCAAGGCAAGAGCGAAATCCTATAAGAGGAGCGTCCCTGTCAAGCCGGAGGAGCTAGATGAGGATGCGGAGTATGCACCCCACCTTGAGTTTACCTTCAACGATATCGGTGTCCTTCAGGATGCACTCAAGCTTGTATTTTCTTTCCTCGACCGCTCGACGATTCAGTATTCCTCTCATGAACGTCGGTCGGTAGAACGCTTGCTGCGATCATTCATTCCACTCTTCTGCATGCTCCCCACTGCGGAGTTCGACGCTGCGTTTGGTCCGCCATTGGAATCGGATAACACTGATAACGAAGACGTTGGACATGAGGATACCGCTGGCTCGGACGAGGGTGAAGACGCGCACCATGGTTCTGGTTCGAAGTCTCACAGTAAGAGTGGAGGGACCAGCGGGCGGCGTTCGGCAGGTGGGAGCAGTCATGGACATGGGAATGGCGGTGTGCATCCGAACGACCTGCGGAAAAAGTTGCTAAAGACTGCGCAGGAGAAGGCAGTGAAAGCACGTTCAGGATCGGCGTCGGCCTCACGGGCTGTGTCGCCTGCAGGGAGCGACGACGATCATAGTAAGCCCACTGAAGCTCAGGCAGCTTCCACGTCTCCTACGCCAAAACGCAAGAAGGGAAGTCGTGCAAAGGAGGCACCCGAAGCGCAACGTGCGGAATCCCAGGAATGGGCGAAACTCATGCCTGTCGAATTTGACACTGGGAAGGAAACCGAGACAGACGGCATGGAGGTTGATGGGGATGATGCGCTGGAAATGCTTGCGAAGCACGGATTAGTGGACCAAAAGCCCTTCTACACGAACACAACGTTCTATGCTTTGCTAAGGTTGCTGCAGGTGCGTCAAGGGTTTGACTAAGGCCCCTCTTATTGACGCACTTCTATCAATGCAGCTTTTGTATTCGCGCCTCCTACACTGTAAAGAGACCGCCCAAAAACTATTAGCCCAAGATAGGAAGAAAAGCTTGTTTACGGTCAATCCTGTCGCCGAGGAACTCGGCCTTGTGGATGCTCATGGCCCCGGGGCCGTACTAGCTCTTGCCGCAAACGTTCCCGCGCATTCTCATCCATCAATCGATAGTCAGACAAACGGACACGAGGCATTGAATGGCCTTGCTTCTGCAGACGCAAGCGCCAACGTCGCCGCTGCTGCCACTGTTGGTAAACCTTCGCGACCGGAAGCGCATTTCTACAGCTACCTTCTCGACGCATGCGAGAAGTTGTTTGAGGGCGAGCTGGACCAAGCGTCATTTGAGGAAAACATGCGCTTTTTGTTTGGGACGAAGGTGCGCAATCTATTTCTGACTCTTTAGTATTATTATCTTGCTTCCGCTCTTCTTCTGTGCTATTCGCATCGCACACACGTCTTGTTCTCCTTTCTTGTTCTCATTCAGCTCAGCTGGAGAAAACAGAAGGGAATAGACGGATATTTTTATCCTGGAGGCACGTTCATACCATAAGTGGCATCTAAGTTCAAAGAGAACTTGGGGTCCCCGATTTCGGAAGCTGTGGCCAAACTGTGGCCAAATTGGCTCTTCATTATAGAGGCCTTCATCCGAGCTTCTACGTTGTTCCTGCGGCCATGATAGGACCGGACTGGACTTGACGTTGACACGATGCTAGTTAGTTCGGGATATATGCAGCATCTTCTATTCATCTATTTCTGGCTATTAAATCCGCAGTTTATTCTTAGACGCGGGATCTATTTTCTTCCTGATCTCGTGCATCATCTGCGTTCCCATCGCAAGTACCATCTCTACCCTTCTCGGCTGCCGCCGTTTCTGTGCCCATACATTCATGCCTTTTCATCAGCCCTCCTATTTTTGCATGCTTCGCTGGATTGAATCTAAAATTAATACTAATTGTGGTTTATGCCTCTTTCACGCAGGCGTACATCGTATTTACGCTCGATAAACTAATCGCAGCGCTCATAAAGCAGGTGCGTAATGTTCGGATGTTTCATTTCATTATTCATGCGGCTATTCTTCCCGCACATTTCGTCTTCCCTAATGGGCATATGCCCATGCGCTAAGGAGGGCTAAAATTCTTTGTCCTTTCTTCTCTTCTTTTCGCTTTCTTTCCTCCTGGTTCCCTGTGCTGCGCGCCTCTTCTACGCATGTGTGATGCCACGAACGTCCAGCGTGGACTTCGTGTTTCGGTCAGCTGGACTGAGTTGGGCAGAGGAGCAGCCCTATTTTGGGCGAGAACGGCGCGAGGCCGCGTTCCTTCGTGAATTGGTGGATCATAGGCGACGTGAAAGGGTTGCGTCGATTATACCATCACGATGACGCTCGCGCTAGCCGAACGTGCTGTTCCTTCGCGTTCGTGCGTACGGAAAACTGCACGTCGTCCCCTGGATCAGGCAATGGCCATTTGTATCCACCGGTGGGCTATACAACGACTAGGCTATTCTTGTGCAATCGGTGTCTAGGTTGTTTTCGTTCTGTGCTTCCCAATTGTGCACACATGCGGCTAAAAGAGTATTGGGAACGAGGATGATGCGATATGATCTATTTTTTTTTTGGAATGATCTGATCGATCAGGCTATAGAGTTTGTGCTAATTTTGGTAAATTTGTATTATTTTTGGCTCTGACAGGTCCAGGCGGTGACGGACAACAAGTGCCAGGAATTACTGACGTTGCTAGCGAAAGCGCGGGTAAAGGTCAGGGTCTTTTTCCCTTTTCAATTGTAACAAAACGATTCATTACTTTCTTCCTTTCTTCTCGCACGGGGAACCTGTTTAATTGGCATGCTGTGCAACAGGGCACGACGAACGTGCGGGAACTGATCGCATATCGACGTGAGGCAGAACAGTATTTGGGCCAGGACGACCATCTTTACCGCATAGACTGGGTAAGGGTTTTTCATTTCTGATCTGCGTCTTCCGTCCAAATATAAACAGGCGCAAGACGGTCCGACGCCGTGTTTGAGAACGGATGTGGAAGTGATAAGATGATGCTGACTGTGGTTTATTTCTGCCGTGTGTGTAATACAGGACCGAGGACAGGGCGCTAATGTGATGCGAATTTGGCTGCTGGGCGCGTCTGATGCGAGTATTGACCTTTGCGGCGCGAGGACTGCGTCCGGATCGGACGCAACCTCGAAAACCAGAGCGCGCTCCCTGCAGATGGCATCTCGATGGCGTACATATGCGGAGAGCTATGTACTATCACACCCAACGGAGCTGGTTGATGCTGCACGTGTGCGGAAGCCGTTCCTGCATCGGTGAGTAGTTGTTTTGAAAAGTCTAACCTTGAATGTGCTATTGTTGTCGCTGCCTGGGATGGGTTAGCGGAAGAAGCGAGTGTATGAAGGCATGCAGGCAGGGCAGGCATGCAAGAAGGGATAGGGGTGCCCTGGGGTCCGGTTGTGTCATTGCGTAGCTAGTGCTGACTGAATCTGGGCTATGTTTATTTATAGGACGAAATTGGAGGAGGAGGGCGACGATGCGAATGGAGACGGAGATGTGCCGAAGGGGCGGAGGCGCTGGGTGTCGGATGGACTCGTTGAGGTTGGTGTGCGGCCGATTGGACTGAGGATAGTGCACAAAGGAGTCTGGACAGAGTGGAGAAGATAGCGAATTGCCTCTTAGAATCACGGTAAAGACGGACTGTAGAGGCTACTGCGGATGGGCGATCCCGGCAGCGCAGAACGCTAATAATAGCGAGGATGAATGTATGTGTTGATTGCATGTCGTTACGTAATCCAGTAGTCGTGGGAAATGTATCCGTTAAATACGGTATAAGTTACATATAACACTGGGCTGGGGTGGGCTGTGACTGGTATTGGCCTGCCGTACACACCCAACCTCGTCCTAAAGCCAAGAGAGATGGTCGAATGGCCAAGCGCTTTTCGTCTCACTTGCTCTCTCTCCATCATCCTCCCCGCGGGCACTCCTCCGCCCGCCACCGTCCCGCCCGTGCCGACCCGCACGCTGTCCGCCGCTCGACGAAAAAATATACAGGGGCAAGGGCTCCCTCGCTTGCCGTCCTTGCCGCACTTGCCACTCTCGCTGGCGCCGCACCCCTCGACAACGTAGCAACAACAACTCCCGCACCCGGGCCAATCAGCGCGGACGTTCCCGATTTTCTCTGTCCCGCCCTCGCGTCGTCACCAGCGACAACAGGCGCAGGCTTTAGTGCGACACCTGCTGCGCAACCCTTCCGCTGTGCCGTTGAGACGACCACCGCTCCTCCACCTGCTCCGCAGCAGCAGCAACAACAACAGCGTCTTGCTTACAAGACCTTTTATCTATCTGCGTGCAACGGCGAGCCTGTTGCGACGCATACTGTCGTTGACGTCGACTTTGACGCTTACACTGTCGCACACGCTCCCGACACACGGAGAAACAAAGACGCCGCCAACAATTACAGGAGGCGCAGAACCCGATCAAGCAGATCACTTCCTGACAGTTTCATCAAATCTCCTCAAGACGAGTCCAATTTATATTCCGATTTCACACCTACTTTATCGTTTTCACCGCCATCGAGCAACGCTCAAATCGCGCGTGGGGACGCAACTACATATAGTAGTAGTAGTACTCCATCTGCTTCTCCTACAGAGTGTTCGGAGCTGTATACCTCGCGCACCATTCCGGACCGGTACGAGCTTGGGAACGACGGTCGCTGGCATAAGCTCAGCGTCTGGTCGTCGTGTTCGCTTTGCCAATGCGACGTGCGTCGTCACTCTTTCTATCGCTCATCATTATATGCTCATCGGAAGAAACATTTTATTCGTTTATTCATTTAGACTCAGACATCACACGATGTTGACGATTCAGCTGACAATGAAATATCCGCTACGGGCGTTACTAATGATGCGGTCGGCGATGACGAGCAGGATCTCTCTAATGTATCGGCAACGGCATCGTCGACCCCAACCGGCAGTTCAAACCCTTCTCCCGTTGTCTTACCTGTTGGTTGGGATAGGCGGAGCGACTCGGCCGTATACAGAGTGCCACTTATCGTCATTGCGAGTTTGTTAGTCGCCATCGCGGTCTGTAGTGCTGTGTGGTTCACGTTCTTTTGGCGAAGAAGGCAACGATTGGCGAAACAGTTGGCACAGGCGAGGGATTTGGAGAAGAAACGAAGGAAGGCTGAAGGTATTGAGAGTGGAAGTGAGGAGGATATGGATGATGATAGCGATGATGGGAATGGAAGGAGAAGTTCGAGAAACCGTGGTGATGCTGCCGTATATGCGGATGGCGAGAGGCGAGAAAAGAAGGATGAGGGAAAGGCAAAGGCGCGCTGGGCTCGTGCTACTGCGCAGTGGAAAGCGCACGCACGATGGATTGCTCGACGACGACGTGGGCGAACAGGCATTGTAGACGGAATGAGGCAACGGGACGACGCGATGGCGTCAGGTGTTTCACTAGCCCGTTCGACAGCTTCTTCACGAGCGAGCAGTCGGAATGAAGCAGCTGCGGCCATGCGAATATCGCGCGACGGTGGAGAGGCTGGACGACAAGCAGAGTTAGAACTGCCGCCGGGACCAGAGGAGGAAGAAATCGCAGGACGAGATCCGATGCCAGGAATCAGGGTCAGGGCGGGAGATGGACCTATGACTGGAAATAGAAGTGGGGGTGCATTACGCGACCCGGAGATATCGTCGGAGGCTTCTCGGATGGGAATGGGAAGAGGTTCGAGCGGTCAGGATCAACTGCATTTCCGGAACGAGAATCAAGCTTTGGGGCATAATGAGGATCATCGAGATCTAGGTGGAAGAGGGGAAGTGGAAGCGGAGGGAGAAGCAGCGGTCATTAATGCGAACCAAAGTCCGAGTGGAGCGTCTAGATCTCAACTACTACCAAGACCAAGATCGAGGATTGGAGAAGTGAATACTGTTCCACTACCGTTGAGTCGATATCCTTCTCGTCATCCTCTTGAAACTTCGGAGCCGCCTTGGGATAGGGACTATGACCATCCACCTTTGGAGGGAGACATAGATGATGAGGAGCAACGCGAGGCGATGAGTCCACCTGCGTATCGTGTGAGAGGAATCGCACATGTCTCTGGAGTGCCGCGGACAGATAGAAGAAGGACACGAACACGGTTACGACGTGACCAAAAGAGCGCTTCAGGACTCGGGTACGTCCCTAACTCTGAGGATTGTGCACCATACTCGTCAAGTGAAGACGAATGTGATGATGCTTCCGGCAGTACGATTTCGACTCGGGATGATGGGACGTCACCTGTTGACACGAACATGCACATTGCAGTGGACGACAAGCATGCTCTTGCTCGACTGGCTGAGTACGCTAGTGCACCACCACCTCTATCGCCGGCTTCACCACCCACCACCACCGCAACTTCTCCTTCTTCGTCTTCTTACGTTCATTCACAACAACTTCCCGAGGCAAATGCCCCTCCAGAAACGGACTGGTTTGAGGGATATGCCGCGGCGGTGTGTGATGATGATATGACAGCTGACTCTCCTGGCGCGGGTCCAGGTCCGTCAACTGTCTTTGCGCGTGCTGCTTCGCCTTCTTCCTCTAGATCCGGTTCTCCTTCTTGTTCCCAATTGTCTGGTTCGCATGCTGTCTCTCGGTCTGGCGCGCGTTCGTTGTTCCCTGCCCCTCCTCAGCCTGTAACTTCCTGCCTTGCATATGCACCTGCCGATGCAGGTTTACGTCTAGACCACTCTGGGTTCGGCTTCAACGCCACCGTCACCGCTGACTCTAAAGACTCCAGGCTACTGTCTGAAGACGCGCACATGCAGAGGTACCATGACTTCTCGCGTGGATTTGATTTTGAGCTTGGGCTGGGGCTTGATCCGGATGAAGAGGTGGATGATGTGATTGGAGGTATGTTTGGGCCGTCTGCCCCGCCGTTTGAGGACGCGCTTGCCGATGCGAGTGCACCTCCGATGTTCTTTGATGAGGAGGGTGGTGCGATGGAAGAACAAGAATATACTCTATCGAGGGATAACCCACGTAGAGACGTCCAGGTTGAGTCGACGTGTGTTCACCAGATCGGTGCTGAGCCCTCTCCACCTCCACCGCCGCCTGATATCGTACACTCCGAAACTTCCGATCGAGACGCTGTTCTTTCCGCTGTGAGATGAAGTGGCTGCTGAAAACAAAAATACGCTGATCTTCGAGTGGAGTATTGTTCTGAACTTTCGACTTAGCTGTACATAGTTCTGCATTTGTTTTGTTTATTGTTTGTGTTCTTCATCGTGTTCGTTTTCCGCCTTTTTCATGGATCACGAACTATTTCTGCTTATTTCTTCTCTCTTTTTTTTTCCAGCTCTGTTAATGTTGTGCATTCGTACATTTACTCATCTTCGATTACTTATCCTGCTCTTTGAAATGAAGTCGTAATGATAAATCAAATTTTGGATGATTTCCGTCATTGCATGTATTGTTACTTGGCCTGACACAGTTGCATTACTTAATACCCACAGCAATCCTTCTTTGGACAGTGGAAGAGATAAGAGAGATTGAATCCATGTGTGCCGTGTTACAGATAAAGCAAGGGGTTAGAGAACAGAACAGACTTGAACCCTGCTCCATTTCTGTCTGTATATTGTTAACTCAATGATGAGTTTCAATAACAATGGAAGATGTAACGTAGATTGTTGATACGGACGTTCGCGGGAAACAATACTGACATGTATTACTCAGCACGATAGGCAGTAATAGTTACTTGGAACAACTACAGGATGACTAGAATTATTTTCGGCAGTGATTGTGGAGTTGCTTAATATTTGAATGAAAGGAATGTACGGATGTACGGATGTATATGATGTGATTATGATTAATGCATATCTTGGCATAAATTATTGAATACTAAGAGACGAACCAAGACATTGAGTATTTGAATATTGAATTGAATTGTAAGTTAGGGTAAAGAAACGAAGAAACTCTGGATCGATAGTGCCATGCCACGTGCTCTAGTGATTGAATTTGTTGGACCTCGACAGGTACGGGGTTTATTTTGAGTGTGTATCATGTTTGACCATGCCGTTGTATCTCATGACCATCTCGACATAGATTTCAGTTTCTTGGCGCGACCGTGCCGTTAATCACGATTTGCCGGAAGGTAGGTGGCCACAAATACTATTACTTGTTCAGATATAGTAGATACAATTTTCTTGTGTGTTTTCTTTCTTCGCACTCTCAGGCTTCTATCGTATTCATTTTGTCTCGCGATTTTTTGGATACAAGTGTATTGACGATGTAAGGAAGATATTATCCCCCTTCCGTCTACTGCCGCACTCGTACTTCCATTTTTACAGATTCCTGTATCTTACGATGTTCGCCTGCCCAAAGCTACATGTCCAGGCATACCGTGTTGTACAAGATTAACTGAAGTCCTTGGCCTGGCTCAATAGAGGTGAGTCCTCTACATGAGTTCGCCGTTGTTCCAATGCACGTTTACACACCCTTTTCACAGTTCCTCCGCCTATTTGACCGCCCCATTTGTGATAGGCAACTCTTCTTATCTGCTCTTTTACATGCAGGATGCCAGCAATTCACGTCTAGACCCACTAATACCACTCGCTTTGTGTACCTAAGAAGATTCTTCATGAAAAGTACCGCTCTAAATCCGTCCCTCGCACTCTTGTGCATGTTCTAACCGTTTCAACTACATGAATTTCGACCTCGTGAACGGAGAAATCCTTCCATGCTATCAGTATAATTTGTAATTTCACTTACCCGACCTTGTCATCTTAATTAAGTCGGATGAAAGCGCATACAGACGGACATTGCAAGCAGGAATTCAAGCCTGGCTAACATAGGAATGACTTGCGGATAAACAGTAGTATGAATAGGCATTTCGTTACTATTCCAAGGTATATAACTTCATCGTTTTGATTCTTCTTCTTGACGTCTTGCTCTTGGCTCGAAACGGGAGCAGACAACAACCGATGGCCACAAATTTGTACTGGAGAAACTATTCCATCAGTAGCTATACATGCCCTGCATCTTGTACTTCTTTCATCACCAATTTTCCGATTCATTCGCTTTCTAGGGAAGCACAAGGATCTCTGCGCAACGTTTCATTTCATAGTGTCCGAGTTCATGTTAATGCGAAAGCCGCGGGAAACAAGGTTCAAGTAGATCGGCATCTAAGATTCATTTACATAACCCGAATCTGGTAAGGCCTTCAAAGCAGTCGATCCGTCTTCCAGCCAGTGAAGAAAGTTGCATTGCAAATTACGGCACGCCGACGGAGCGAAGATGAACCATAGCCGAGGTGGTACTTCATGGATGTAAAACGTCTGAAATCGCTCACAATAAATGTGCCCAGTCAGATATAACCGTTTGATTGATTAGGTACCATCAGGCTTATCAAGATGAGTATCAACAAATATAGGAACAATGAATTCCCAGTGAGGGAGAGACAGGACCGATGGAAGGTTCATCCTAGGAGGATAAGTTTTAACAATAATGTATTTTAATAGTGATGGCAAGAAAATGAGGGAAGAGATTGTATCTTATCATGCGCATGAAGGTACAATCCCGACATGACCATTTAACCTAATCAAGTGCCTATTTTATAGAATCGCGTCTTGCTCTGTGTATTGATCTGTGAGTACTGCCCTGTTTGTGTCTTGGACCAGTGTGTTCATGCCTCGAATATACTGTGTCCCTTTCGCTCTGGATAGGCTTCCTGCTTGGTACAACTTCGTATATCAAGCACTCTCGAGGGTCTATGCGGTGGGAACTGTCAGACGAACGCATTTGGCGTGACGACTGCCTGTGTAATCCCCTTTGTCTCTCGCGTTCCACTACATTCCTCCACCGTGCTTCCTCCTCCTCTTTCAACGCTTCCCAACACAACCTCTCCTCCTCCTCAAGAAGCGCTTCCTCGAGTACTTTGTAAATAATTTCGTGTTGCGATTCTCCCTGCACCATCCCGTAGCGTTGGTCGCGAAGAGAATCAACCTCCAATGCAACTTCATTATCCTGTAAATTTCGTGGCAATGGGCCTAAAGGTGAAGGTGGACGATTCCGCCAAGGCTTAAGTGACCCCAATATAGCACCTTCACGCAGTAGCCCATGCTTTCGAAGGACCGAGCATGTGCTTATTAAGGTCCCTGCACGTCCAACACCCGCTTTGCAGTGTACGACTGTTGGACGATGTAAGCAGGAACTCGTATCCGATGGGTTCAGTGAAAGCTGCTCCTCGATAACCAGTCGTGCAAATGCCAACAGAACCCTCTTATTCTCTGGTACACAGTAATCGGGCCAACCTTTGAACTCGAGGTGAGTGACTTTGCCCAAGTCTTTGGTATCCTCTTGCTCGCGCTGAACTACACGCAACGTGCGTTTAACACAGTTCTCCTCCTCCATGAACTTCGGTTCATCGTCGGTTTTGAACTCTAAGAAACGACCATTACCAGTGTTTATACCTGATTCATCAGCACGGACGGGAAGGAGGTATTCAGCAGGCTCGTTATCTAGCTGCACAATGATACGAGGTGTGTGTGAAACCACAATCTGGTCTTTGACACGGCGACTGGTGTTCCCTGGCACGAAGAGTGCGATGAACGTATCAACCGTAAGTTTACTTGGTTGTTGTGTCGCAATCCACCATTGTCCGCCAAATCGTTCTCGCACCCAATTTGCATTTATATATGGATCTTCCTTGCCTCCAACTTCTCCAATAAGCACTCGTGACATATCGTATGGAAGGATATCGGCGAACAAATTGTACTTCATATTTTTACGGCTCTTTGCTTCACTAGCTTGATAGAATAGTGCCAAGTCGTCGGCGTCACCACCACCGGAATCTCGTGCTTTTCGTCTAACCTTGTCACGATCATACAGTGTCTGCCATACATATCTCCGATATTTATTATCGGATACAGCACGCTTCAACCAAGCAGGCCTGAGATCTATTGAGGCTGACATAATTGCAGAGTCGAAGCTGCAAGAGCACAGACATACGATTGCGCGGTTGGAAAGGTAGCAGAGAAGTGCTCGAGACACAGCAGTAAATACCAATTTTGCTGCATCAATTCCCGGTGATTTGAAAACGTGAACACCACTTTGCTCTTTCAAGTATTACCATTTTATGGCAAACTTAGTTTGCATCCTTGAGGCAGAATTCCCACGTACGGTCCTCTCCGCCTTTTCCAGTCGTCCCGGTCCCGTGAGCGCGCTCGCCTTTTGTCATACGGTGCTCGTAGCCTGGCCAGTCTTCACGGTGGAATACAAACGACCGAAGCTGAATATATTGCGGATTTGGTTTAGTTGATGACGACTGTGACAATGGAGGCGACTTCGCAAGTTTCGGTAAATTCCTGCATTGTGAATGATTGCATCAGTTAATTGAACTATTGCAGGTATTGAGAGTGATACCATTCTGTATAGGGTGGGACATTGCGCAAAGTAATTAGCACTGTCCCTCGAGTGCTCGTACGATCTGCGATGCCTGGAGGCTCATCTAAGACAACGTCATTTATGGATATAGCGTCCTCGTTATCTCCTTGATTGTCAACATCGTCCGAGTCATTGCCACTCTCATCGTTGTCCCTAAGCTTTTTCTTTCGACGTGCATGGACGGAAGGGATACGTCCTGCTGCAAGAAAAGGTGCAACCGATTTAAGAAAACCAAGGAGAATCATTTGGTTGGATAGTATATTACGATCCTGATCAGTGATTCCCTTTCCTAGGAAAAGGGTTAGAAAACAACAGCTATGGTTAAGAAAGGAGTATGCAAAACAGAGAGGGTGTACACACCAGCATGAGGAAAATTCCACACAACACGGTTCCATCTCTTTCCTCTCAGTGCTTTGCACTTTTCCAAGGCAGTTGCATCAACAGAAAATAGTAGCTCCACTCCACGGTTCCGGAGGTCGGAGACTATCCGATGCGACTCAGGATACTTGTCATAGCATTTTTGTTCTGAATCATATGCAGTCGCCGTCACGTTCTTTGCAGGAAGATATTGTAGATCAGGATGAGATAGAAGAGCCTGAGCGAAAGAGAAATTTCCCTCTCCGATTAGAAGGATTGTGTCAGTTGGTTGGAAGGGGTTAGTTGGCCGTTTCTTGTTCGTAGGGCGACGTTTGTCTTTAGTTCCTGAGCTCAAGTCCTTGGGTTTGGACCCAGCTGCGAGCTGCTTCTGATTTCTTTGAGAAGCAACTTTCGCCTTCAGGTTTTTAGCTAACCGTGCCTGGTGGGACGACAGTGCAGCTTTTAGCTTTGTCTTTTTCGCCATCAAAGTTGGCTGTAAAGAAATTGACCTTGAGTTTAACTGTCGATTTGTGTGTGATCGACGGATCAAAATAAGGCAACCATGTTTGAAGAGCGTGCCACGTCGAGAGACACGTCCACGTCCACAAGAGAAACAGGATACAGAACCCATCCTCATACCACCATGGTACGTGCTTTCTGTCGTCACAGCATGCTAAGCAACGTATGAATTTTCTCCCTCACCAGCCGACCCAGCACGAGTTACGTCAGAAAAACCAGAACTTTGCCAAAGCTGCACGAGATGGCAAGAAGCCTACCAAGCCGTCGCGCCAGGAGCGCCTCGCAAAGCAGAGCCCTGTCCCATTGTGGGCACTTGGTATTGTCGTCTTCGTCGTCTGTGGAGGAGGTATGTCCATGTTAACTATGAATGCGAAAAGAGCTGTTACCTGACGTTCTTTGCTAGTCATCTTCGAGCTTGCTAGGCTCATATTCTTATAGATTATTGCCTTCTACCCTTCTTTGTTCTATAGCTTGTTTAGTTTGCTTCCTGTGTTCATTGTTAGTTTGGATAAGGGGGTATGGAGGGTGGTGGAGGGATGTAGGTTCCCAAAAACTGCTGTACATGTCGATTGCAGTACACATAATATCAAATTCCGTTCAATAAACACGCTTAAATACAAGCCGTCTAATCCTCGCGTGCCTTTGCAGGCCCAGTTTTACTCCCATCTACTGGAGCAGTAGTCTCAACTCCTTCCATTGCTTCGCCTTCCAGTTCCTTCGCGTCCACGTCAAGATCTTCACCCGCCCAGATGCGACGCGATGGTTGCCAGACTTGCAAAATGTTGTCTTCGGAAACGCTTGCGATGTGCCATTCTTCACCCTTGCCAGGTGCCCATGAGAAGTCTGCGGGTCGGGAAGTATGCCCTGCAGTCTGTGTGTTAGAGACGGAAATACTATGTTAGGAATGGATATAAGTGACTGACCACCATGCATGAAGACCAGCTCTGGAGGTCCATCCTCGGCATCGTCTGGAGTTTGTTCGACTCCAATTTGTGCTAGGTCCCAGACATTAATGCGCCTGTCCGAGCTTGCAGATGCGAAAACGGTTTCGTGATGCGGTGACCAAGCGAGGTGTAGCACCTCGTCGGTATGCGACTCAAAGGTGTGAACACGCTTCACGTCGTTTCTCCTGTCGAACAGTGCGATTGTCTGTACGAAGATTAGACTTTGAAAGTACATAATGACAACTGGCAAATTTACATTATCTGCGCCACCAGTGATGATGAGGTTGTCATTTGCTAGGCTCCATGCAACTGCTAAAATCTCCTTTTCATGGGCTTCTATAGATCTGAAGGGTGTCTTCGGCTCTCTTGTGTCCCACCTGAAAAACATTAGCCAGAAAAATGGATACACAACGGTTGGGTTGGAGCTTACATCATTAGTTGCTTATCGTCTCCTACACTAGCAAATATATTCTCCTCCCTAGCATGCCAGTCAACATCCTTAATATAAAAAGTAAGTGTCATATTTGACCCGTGCTGGGAGAACAATCCTTACGCCGACGACAGATTTGTGTCCAGAATATACGGCGAGAGGCTCAATATTCTTCCCTTTACTGTACATATTCACATCCCTATGACAAGGTGAGTAAATGGGCGAAATACTCCAGAAATGCAATTTTCATACCAGTGACAGACTGTCATATCTTCTGAAGAACCAAGAATGTGTCCCTTTTTCACTGCACTCCAAGCAAGGCCGAAACTGTATCTTTCTTTAGCATTGGACACGGTCATTGCATTAGAAGACATACCCTTCTTTCGTCTGGCCTACACAGCGGATATCGGGCTTAATTGCACCGGTGCGATCTGGATCACTACTGTGCTTCGTGCGGTCCCATATGAGCACCTCTCCAGAGATAGCTTTCGTTGCAATGAGGTCTGGGTTTTGTGGCATGTACCGAGCACGGTTTACCTCGCCCGGGTGGTTAATACGTTGTATTACCTGTATGTGTGGTTGTCGAGATGGAATATTGTGACCACCAATTTCACCACGCTCGTCATCATATGATGTGTGGTCAAGTTTCTCGGCTCCTGGCCCATCACGTTTTGGTATATGCACTGTCGCAATTTGCAGGTAGTCTTGTGCCTGGCCTGATGTATGTGTGCCAAGTAGGAGTCGGTGAACTGTATATGGTTTGTCTGGTGGTCTGCGAAACAAGGTGTTAGCGAAAACTCCTGGTTCGGGTCGATGGCTTTACGCACGATTCCTTGTCTGGGAACCATTGACATGTTAGACTCGGCCATGATAGTGCGGAGGTCATGACCAAGTCGTAGAGGTAGCGGGAGTTCTGCTTCCTGTTCTCTCTATTAGCATACTTGGATTCCTAAAGGCGCCTTCTCTAGTCCGGCTCACCAGATTTTGTACTCCTGATGTTGTTCGAACGCGTTAAACCAATCAACTACATAGAAGACAAATACGTTACTTGCCTCGTTTATAATTTTGTTCTCCTCCTCAGCTCGCTCATCATCAATGTCTTCGTTTCCTGGACGCATGTTTGTGTAGTACAAGCTGTTCCACAGAGCAGAGGTAAAGAAGAAGAGCAAATGCGCGTAGTCGTTTACGAGCAGGCGAAGACATATGTCGGGAGAGCACAAGCTAGCGTCGGGAGCAAACCGGACCAGACACCACTCTCAAGCGTTACCTGACGCGACGAGTCGCGTCGTTTCCGCATCCGAACCCTGAGTCCCACGGCTCTTTTTAGGTTAGCTCCAACTGGCCACTCACAAATCGACTTGAATTTCACTAAGTCAAAATAAAGTCATTTCCCTAAGAAAATATATATTCCCCTCCCCCAAGCCTAACTAACACCCAACTCAACACCTAAACTTAACAACCTAAACTGAACCTAAACCTAATTGGGGGGGCTCTGCCCCCCCAAACCCCCCTCCTAACTTCTTGGTCTGTGAACCAGCATACAAGTATTATGTAAGTGGCCAGTCAGGGTCGTCCCAAAAAGAGCCGTGAGACTCAGGGTTCGGATGCGGAAAGTCAAGGCTGGACGCGACCTGTCACAAGTGCACGTGCTGAATGTGAGACGCACTTGCTTTATTTGGACAATACTCTGAAGGTGGGTCGTGGTCTGCGTCTTGGAAGGATTTCTGTCTTCGCCAACATATGAAGCTGGTCTGGCAGACCTCAATCCTGATGACCTAGACGAACTCGACAGAATCGAGTTTACTCATTCTCAACAGCATCGACAATATCCCGTTGCCTCTTCGAGTTCTCAGAGGCATCCGCAATCTTCTCAATCGCTCAGTCCAAATGCGAAGCAGAGACGGCTCAAAGCTATGATGGATGCTTTACAAAGTAGTGATGATAAGCTTGGATCAGGCGATTCAGAAATCTCTGACGAGAATAACCGTTACAAACACAAATTGGGTTTCACAAGTGCCGCCGCATTAACGCTTGAGGCCATGCCACCCCCTGACAAATATGATCATGAACCGTCATCCTTTCCTTCTTCGCCAAAGGAGCCTCCTTTGGAAAAAGGCTACTCGAGCTGGTTCCAGCCACCGGACCCAAGTATTTCGCTTCCTAGCTTTCAAACGGCATCCAAAAGCATTTTCGCTACACCCTCTACTGATTTGGAGAAATCCATTACGTCAGACTCTGCGTCTGCAAGTCGATGTTTCACTGGATTTGGTTTTGCAAGTGCTGCGAATATTCAAGGAGGCACTCTCGAGCCGTCAAAAGCAGCCCTCGAACTCGCGGCAAAGAAATTGAAAGAATGGTCAGAGGAGGATGAGACTTTGGAAGCAACTACAAAACCAGTCTCATCGATAGAGAAACCCTGTCTCGAGGATGACCCTATCCGACCTGTACTAGGCTCAGTGCTGAACTCCCCGTCCCTTCACCCTGGTCGATCGCCGAAGCCACGGTCATTATCAACGCCCGTACTCAACCGCACTGCAGGTGACAAGCCCCGTGCATTCAGGTCTCCACTAATAGGACGAGCTTCTTCGCGCATATACCCAAAGGGTAGTACCTCAAAGGCAAGCAGTGACGAGAACGATGCACGGTTAATGCAGAAGGCACGACCGCACTCAGTGGCTTCTACCCCGATCACAGACACAGATAGTCCTGGCCCTCGCTCTCGGATTGAATCGAATCGTTCCTTACAATACACGACACCTATTCGAACACCAGTGCAGCAACGAGTCGGGACCTCAACCCGCCCGCTCAAACCCGCTTTCTCAACGCCTTTCAAGCAAGGCATGAGACCGGGCGAACCTGGAAGGGAATCACTGGGCCGCGCTCAGAAGGTTCGAGGAGAGATTGGGACGTCTCGGAAATTGCCGCCGGGAAGAATTAAAGGTACATTTGGTCTTGCTACGCTCCTTAGAAGTATAATTCACGACGGGTTAAGCTACAGGGAAAGTTCCACTACGAGAGTCCGGTCTCATTCCTCAGCAATATACTCCTGAAGAGCTAGAAGACATGGGAGTGTGAGTTGCTTCTTTTGCTTGCTATGGTTATACTGATTGATGACTTGTTTTTTTCATGAAGGAACATTGCTGAGCTCAAGCAAATAACACCGCAGACAGCACCTTTCTATGTTTTTCATACGTCAGCAAGTTACATACCATCTACACAATCACAAGCTGCCTCTGGTTCGTCCGGCCTTTCACTTGGGCCTAAGGAGGCACAGGATCATCTCCGGAAAGCAGGCCGTAATGCTACGCAAGAATGGGTGGAAAATCAGTGGGCACTTGTCCTCTGGAAGCTTGCGGGACTTGCAACGCTCGACCCGACACGAGAAGCGACTCCATCTCGTCGCTGGTGCTGGCGATCGGTACTTGAACAGCTCGAGGCACGCTATGACAAAGAACTCGAGAAAGGCGCACGCCCAGCGCTCCGACTGATTACGACTGGTGATGCGCCTGCAGGGTCTCCGCTAGTACTTGTTATCACAGCCATTCTATCGTCAGAGAGAGAACGGCTAGGGCCGAATGGACGAGTAGTACAGGATGCGAGTGCTGAGATTGAGGTGAGCGATGGCTGGTATCGCCTTCGAGCCTCAGTCGATGCACCACTTGCACGGGCGGTCATACGAGGCATAATTAGGCCGGGCAGGAAAATTGCTGTAGCAGGGGCGAAGGTAAGGAAGGTACTCACATCAATGTTTGACATTGGTTATTGACAATTGAATTGCAGCTTGACAATCTCAAAAAAGATCCTTGCGAAATCCTGGAAGCATACAATTCATGTATACTTACCCTTTCCGGCAATGGGTCGCACTTAGCTCCATGGCACGGGAAGCTAGGCTTTCAGACAGAGCCCTTCGTTGCAACTCTGGGCAGTCTAACACCTGATGGCGGACCTGTGCCTTTAGTTGACATCATTGTTGAAAAGGTACGATTAGACACTCGAATCGACAGGTCCGCTATAATCAACTAACGATTTTATTACATAAAGGTGCATCCAATCGCGTTTCTCGAATTTCTGCCAGGTGACAGACCAGGCGAGAAAATTCGTGAAGGTCCTCGCGGTGAGGCAGAAGAGGCCGCAACTGAGGATGCATGGAGGGTACGTACATCTCTGTCTTCTTACTGCTTTCATTTTTGTTCATCCCGTGCCCGCCCTCTCGAAGAAACGGCGAGATGCCGCGGAGTCGAAAGTACGGGACGAACTTAGCGTACGATGGAGTCGATGGGAAGGCTTTGCAGACCGATTGGAACGCTCGGCAGGCTCAAAGTTCAATCCTTGTCCCGACGGTTCGTCTTCCCTTCCTCATCCTTGGAAATAAGTTCTGACGGGCTTGGGTAATAGATATGCCCCCGGATCACATTGAAGACCTCCTCGACGAGCTCGATGCTCTTGACCCAGCGGAGGTCGGTGATTTTGTCCGTCAACTAGCTGCAGATGAGTGCGGCTGGCTTGCGCGTTACCTCCGACAGCGTTTAGAGCGAGATCGCGAACGCGCGCTTGAGGAAATAGAAGTTGAAGTCAAGGTGAGTCTTTTTTTAACCCTTTTATCTCTTGACTGAAGCTAATCATTCTACAAACTATTGTAGCACACTTGTCCACCACGCGAAGTGCGCAACTTCCGAATAGTACAGGTCCGGGATGCACGTACAGCTCGACGTCCTGCGAATCGTATTGCTCATCTATGCATTTGGGACGTGCTCTCATTGTGCGTAGCTGAAGGAGGAAAAGCAGGTGCTATTGAGTCTGGACAACGTTTCCTCGTATGTCTCTATTTTCTCCTCATTACAAAACTGTCTGGGTCACTGAGAAGGTTGAATACTATTAGATGACGAGCCTGGTACCCATGCAACGTAGCTGCTGGATGGGACGCGCAAAGGACGATATGGTATACCTCTCCACGACGAGAAACACGCGTTTTTACCGGCTCAAGTAGACTGCGCTCACACGAACTTGGAGCATTGGGGATGGAGAGTGAATTCCGTAAAGGGAATGAATCGCAAAATGTAGCATGTTTTCCCTCCCTGTACATTCCAAAGCGTACATGATAGGATTCATGTCATTCTCTTCTTGGAGGAAACTACTTCAGCGCACAAGTTGTGGTATTCAAAGCGCGATTAAGTCAATCCAGTGACAGCGCACGTTCTCGTCACGTCCTTTTCCTGCATACACGTATTGACTCTCAACATTGAATTATAAGAACTGACCTATTCAGAAATTGGCAATAAATACTCAATTGAGATTTTGAGTTGCATGCATTAAATCCGGCGCCATCCGCCACTCTAGCACGTTGTGGGCGCACGAACCGGAATAGATATGCAAGTGTACATGTTGGAGTCTTGCGACTATTTGTGTCACAAATGCAAAGCAATGTAAAGATGTGGGGAAAGGAGAGTGACGAAGGACGAATATGAGCAATCATTGGTATTCCTTTTCCCACCTTGCGATGAGCTTCTCGAGGTCGAAGTTCGGGTCGTCTGGGTTTGTTACCACTGTGCGCGCAGATAAATTAGTCAACATTCAAAAAATACGAGATAGTAAATGACTAGGGTAAAAATAAATAACACCGCCATTAGGCCGACATCCTCTCGAAAAAGCACCCTCAAAAGTCCTTGACTAACCAAACTACATATTTGAATAAAGAACATAAACAGATACTCACATGCATCCTTGCCCGCCTCAAGTTTGTGTTTCCACGCCTCTTTCGCCCGCTTCACAAGCTCTTCACGCTCGTGCTGTGCCACTTGTTGAAGTGCTTCGTTATGTTGTTTTTGTAACGTGCGGCGATGTACGACGCCGTAGAACACACCGGCAAATAGTGCTGAATACCGCACAACCTGATGTAAACAGTTCAGACACGTTATTAGGTTTTGTAGGGGAGAAGAGGGAATTGTTTGGACGAACGTTTACGGTTGGGGAGGCCATGTCGAATGCCTGGCCGGAAGGGAGGTCCAAGTGAAGAGATGGAGGATCTCAGACGCTTCAAGCTCTACACGTTATAATTAATTGGGATGTCTTTGAGGTTGCTGACCGAGGTGTACACTCACTGTTGAGACCGTTTGAGGCAGTGGACGGCTTGTGAAGTTGCCAACTTTCTCGCTGGCGGATAACTTCGGGACACACGCTTATGTCATTCCAGATTATGTCATTCTCACGGATTAATACACCCCTACATTACTTTCGCTCACTCAGTTCAAATCATTCTCATTCTATCAGTACTGTCCGAATCCGGCCATCTCGTTGATAGGATGATTATATATTTGTGATATCTATAACATGTCCGTATATCAACATGTAGTGTCTATGTTTCTAATCATATATACCCCGCTCTTCGAGCTGTCTTTTATATTCTCCTGCTTTATCCGCCGCTTCTTCAATTCTCTGTAAATTCTTTTCTCGTCGTTCTGGGTGTCTCATGCCTTCTTGATATAGTCTTGAAACCTTGCTTTCATAATGATCCTTCTTAGATTTGAGTTCCTCGATTTCGCTTTGAGGTTTCGATTGCTCTTCATCTTTTGTAGACGGCCCTGGACTATTGTGCTCTCTCATTGACCCATGAACTTGCCTGGAACCTAGATGGTCGCCCATGATTCAAGTGCAAAGAGTGATCTGATACTGTCCCTCTCTGTCATCTCGACCGCCTTTTTATTAACAATTTACTTTGCTGTCCTAAAATAACCAGCTTGTGAACATGGTTGTCTCAATTTCTCCAAACGTATGTGTTTCACTACATTTCACACACAGCATACAATATAGGTCTGACATCTCGAAATTATTGGCTACTCTGTTACCTCCATTGCTGGAATGTTGACCTAGGAATAGACTTGTCCGAAATAGTTCTGTAGAACTGCAGATTTACTCACTTTGCATACAAAGTGCCAAGTACATTGCACGGAAGCAATCTATACAAAGGTCTAAATAATACGCTATAGATAAATCCATGGACCTATGCGGATGCTGGGAAGTTCATTTTCCGAGGAAATTGAACATGTTTTACAGAAGTTCCACTCAAGGAAGGCGAACTTGGCAAAGTCCGTGAAGTGAGATTACGTCATAAGTATTGTGCTATTGCTCTGGCGTGTTGTCCTTTGCATTCAATGACTAAAATCGAGGTCTAACTGGAACGGTCATCCGGGAGTTTCTGGGAGATAGACTGGATTAGTTCTCGACTGATGACGCATATATGCTGCATATCGCGCTGTTTCAAGTTATTTGTGTAGCCAACGTGCCACCGCTGGTTGGTTACAGGTACCTGGTATAGAGCTATCGATATTAAAGTAAAGTAAAAGGTACGGACGGTATAGAGTACCGAGAAGCAGTGTGATGTAAAACGACCGCCTTCGCCTTCGAATTGCAGTGTGTATCAATTGTCAGAGATCGCTTAAGCTTGTCTGTATGCGTGCCGATCGTGAGGCAGTGACCATGTCCACGGCCAGCTATATAAATCTCCCCCTGCCCAAACTTGTTCTTCTCCCCTTCTCCCATATACGACACTCACTTCATAGGTACACGGAATTATAATCATGTCTCGCTACGAACAACTTAAAGCGCAATACGACGCTGCAGACCAAGGACACGTCTTTTCATTCTGGGATTCCATTTCCACCGCTGAGCAAGATGCGTTGTTGGACCAGCTCGACGCGTTTGACCCCCCGCGCGTCAATGACATCTACCACGCCGCGCTCAAAGCAGACGACGCAGCTAAACACGCGTCCCCGAGCGAGATCGAGCCCTTGCCCTCTAATGTCCTCGAGAGCGTCATCGACGCGCCCGAGCGCGCGGCCGCACATCACCGTGCTGGGTTGCAAGAAATTGCAGCGGGCCGAGTGGCAGTCCTTCTCATGGCCGGCGGCCAGGGTACGCGTCTGGGAAGCTCAGACCCAAAGGGATGCTACGACATCGGCTTGCCTTCTCATAAGCCACTCTTCCAGCTCCAGGCGGAGCGTATTCGCCGGTTGCAGACCGTTGCGGAGCAAGCAGCAGGTAAACCGGCCGGGTCGGTTAAGATTAGATGGTACATCATGACCAGTGACCCGACGCACGATGCGACGCGCAATTTCTTTGGTTGGGACAAGGATGGGAAACGCATTGATGCAGGCAAGCCTGTCAACTTCGGACTTGACGCGGACCAAGTCGTATTCTTCAAGCAAGGTGGGTGGCACGGCTAACTCTTACTACCAAAAGAACTAAAATTAATGACTATACCAGGTGTCCTACCATGCCTGTCCTCATCGGGCAAAATCCTTCTAGAGTCTCCCTCCAAGGTCGCTGTAGCACCCAACGGGAACGGCGGTCTCTATGCTGCTCTGCGTACCCCACTCACCCAATCCAACAACAACCTAACCACCCCTTCCATCCTCTCCGACCTTTCCACACGCGGAATCACACTCGTTCACGCCTACTGCGTCGACAACTGTCTCGTCAAGGTCGCCGATCCAGTCTTCCTCGGTGCCTGTGCAACTCGCCAAGCGGACTGCGCTGCCAAGACCGTCCCCAAAGAACAACCCGACGAAAAAGTTGGTGTCGTCGCTCGTCGCGCAGGTCGTTTCGCCGTAGTCGAGTACAGCGAAATCACTCCCGAGCTCGCGTCAATGCGCGACCCGTCTAACCCCGCCGCACTCGCACTGCGCGCCGGGAACATCGCCAACCATGTCTACACTCTTTCCTTCCTCGAACGCACGCACGAAATGGAGCGTTCCCTAGCACACCACATCGCACGCAAGAAGATCCCCTCCATAACCTCTCTCTCCGGCGCCAACAAAGGCGAAACAGGCAAGACGGACGGAATGAAACTCGAGATGTTCGTATTCGACGTGTTCCCATTCGCAGAGCGCTTCTTCGTCCTCGAAGGTGCACGAAACGAGGAATTCAGCCCGCTCAAGAACGCACCTGGCACACCTGCGGGTGACAGTCCTGAGACGAGCCGTCGTGACCTCCTTGCGCAACAACGTCGTTTCCTCGAAGCTGCAGGCGCGAAGTTCGCTTCTCCGGAAGTCGAGATTGAGCTTAGCCCGCTTGTTACGTACTCCGGGGAAGGCCTCGAGAGTGTCAAGGGAAAGACATTCAAGAAGTCTGGACATGTGGAAACGCCTGCGGACTTCGACAAGTTGTTGTAATGAACTTGAACGGCGCATACACCCTGTCTCGTTCACAGAACTCGGACACTAAGGACTTTTTCTGTTATTGCCTCTAATTGTAAGGATCGAAAGATACCATCTGGACCCTGTTTCGTAGGAGAAAAAAGTAGCTTAGGCTGTACAGCCCACCTTGTAGAGCTTCATTTCGATTCTGGACTCAGTGTTTGTCATCATCGATATTCATTTTCTGCGGACGATTCAAGTTATTGCAACAAAAGGGAAAAGATCGAGGTTGATTGAAAAGTCCTAAAGCTATTATTACTGGAACAAGAGTGCTACCCTACTGCAGTACCATCCACGAGCTTTGTACCACGTTTCTCAAGTTCTTCACGGAGTGAAGTGAAGAGACGCTGTGTCCGCTCAGCATTCGGCTAAATGATTCAACATCAGTGAACCGCACCTAAAATACTCCAGGAAAACATACACGAACCTCCTTGCAGCATTGTATCAACTTCTCGATTAACAACGTCTGCCCATTATGCACATCCTCGAGCTCCTTCCGCACCTGCTGATTCTTTTTCGAGGAGTCAGCACGCATTACCACCAGAATACAAATAAGGAAAAATACTTACGTCCTCTTCGAGTTTATCTATCCGACTACGTTCAAACTCCACGAGCTGCTTCTGTTCTTGCTCGCGATACCTCGCAAGTAACAACTCGAGCTCCTTTGAACGAACAAAACATTCAAAGTGCCGTTCGCGCAGCTCGTATTGTCGAAGAACGAATTTCAACCGTTCTTTTGTCCTGTAAATCAGATTGACAGTAAGAGCGGGATATTTGGGTAAATAATGGGTAAGAAAGTATCATACACCCCGTCGAAGATTTCTTCCATCGCTCTTTTCGCCCTGTGCAACAAAAGGACAGAGTCAATTAAACATTGCGTGCTGGAAATAGTATACATACTCCTGAGGATTATCCGTCCAATTCTTCTTTAGTTTCGGACCACGTGCTTCCACGAGCTCCTCCTATCCATAACAGAATCAGCATTTTAACAGCATAAATTAAAACGTTTATATTCTTTCGCATACCGCATCGTCGGGCATTGGACCCGTTAAGTCCATAAGCTCAACGGCAAGGATCTCATCCGCCTCTTCAATACCTGCTTCCTCAATAGTCATCTCGGGATCAAGGCTTCGACCATGATGGGTATACACAAAGGTCATCGGGGGCAATGGAAGAGCTACACTTGCGCCATTCGCTGCCGCTCCTGTACCAGCAGAATGCGAAGAGGCATTCGACTTGATACTCGCTGCGTCACTCCCATTTGCTCCTTTCGGTGCTGGACTACCAATGGGTACGCCGTTTGCCTGGACACTACCCTTTCTTCCCGAAGTGGTTTCCATCCTGTCAGCCCATGCTGTGAAAAGACGTGAAAGCTTCGTCTTGCGTGGAATCTTAAAGAAAAGCTCTGCGCGGTATTTGCACACGACCTTCACGACGATTTCCGGCTTGTCGCGATTCTTCATTTCCTGCTGTCTTGCCTTCTCCTTTCCCTTCGTTATTTCCGCACTAAGATGTTTGATCTAGAAGTGTGTATGACGGCAGGCGCAGAGCGATCAAGACAGGGGAAAGAGGATGGGAAATGTTTATAACTTTACCTCTTCCAGCCCCTTTGCGACGTCCTGCAAAAGTTGTTGCTTCTCCTCCTATGTAGCGATTCACTCCATGTTCCAATTGCTTGAAGCATCCTATCACTTACTCGTAGCTTCTTGTTGTCCTGGTAAAGTCGTCAATACTAAGTCCACACAAAACTTTGCCAGTAGATAATCTTACTTTAGTCAAATCACGAGCAAAATTCTCTAGTTTCGCCTTTGTCTGGTTTGCCTTTGTCAATTGACTTTTGGCTAATGATCGCAGCCGGAAGGAGATTGATTGAAAATCCTTGCGATTTCCTGCCACGAAGACAGGCGCACTTACCTGTGTCCTTGTCTTTGGTCAACTTCTGCTTTTCCTTTGCATGGTCTCGTTCAATGCGTTTCATTTCGGTAAACTAGGATCCACCCTAGTAAATAAAGCGGCACTGAAAGGTGGGTATAAGGGACGAACAAGTTCGAGGTATTTCGACTGTATGGCGTTGTCTTCCATGCCACGCACGCTCTTCTGTGCTTCATCGGCTGTGAATATTCAGGGAGGAGATCACGAAAATATTAAAATATTAGAAATTCCGTTGCAAAAAGACATGTATGCAACAAAACAACCACACACCGAACTTAGATTCCTCTTCATCCGCATGGTTCAACTCCTCTTCAAGTGCAGCAATTTTACTCTTCAGACTTTCGTACATCGCCTGCGGGTCAACAGGTGTTTCCTGTTTAGAGGATGTTTTCTTCCCCTTTGAAGTGCCATTTGGTGTTGGAGTGGATTTTGCACCATTTGCAGTGGCAGAACCCGTGTTCGAACCAGGAGGATTTGGTGGAACTGCACCCGGCGCAGGAGGTGCAGGACCTACTGGGGGAGGCTTCGACGGACGCTGCGGTAATGCAGCAGTCGTACTCATGTCTGTTGTCAAAGTGTCTACAGAGCAGAGTGGCACACCGTACCGGAAAGTTCGGGTGTCGGTGTTTGTGGTGTTTGCGTCGGAGCTGACGGAGTCAGTTGGAGACGACGAAGAGCAGCAGAAAAGACGGCGAAGGAGAAAGAAAATAGAAATATTGTCCTTTGGGATGAGGACGGAGTAGAAAGACGTGTGCGTACAAATTGCTGCTGGTCGTCGGTGAGAGGCGTGTCGCGCTTGACGAGAGCCGACGCCCTCCAGATTATTTGTTACTCATCATTACTCATTTTATTTACTCCCTCCTCATCTATTGACTCTCATTCGTCTCACACACTCCACATCCTATATCTGCTCTACAAATTCCGCTGTATTGTCACAGCATGCCAGGTCATAATCTCATCTTATTATGATGTAAGTATTGCACGTTACCATTTTGTGTGCTTATGTTTGTCATTATTTACAAAATATTAATATCAACGCGTAGCAAAAAAAAAAAAGAAAACATAGAGGATTGGCTCTGCAGTAAAGCCCTGGACCTTCGGGCCAGATAATCCAACAAATAACCATTTATATGCGTGGACCGACCCCGGGACACTTAGTTTGATATTTCTTGGAGTACGTAAAAACAAGGAAAACACGGAGAGGGGACTAATGCTAACCTTAGTACGGATCGGAATATAAAAATTATATCTGCACTCTCCTGCAAATAAAAGCGAATGTGTATAAGGCTTAAAATAGCCTTGCTCCATGCCAGTACTCATGTTCATTCTCTATTTACAAGCGTATATGCACTTTGTTAGACAGCAAGAAAATACACACAATGCACCATACTACAAACTCAAAGTGGAAGTACTTTTAATACTTACATGAAAAATGCAGAAAATTACGTTGTCAAACATTTGCCAAATGTGCACGCAATCCCAATAGTAGAAGCATATGTACAGAGCAACTCCAAGCCATGCGGCTGAGGCAGCTAGAAAGTTAAGGATGTATCTTGCAGTGGACGATGCATAGTATCAGCTGGTCCTGTAGATAAATTAGTTACAATGTCAACTAATGGAGCGAAAGTGTAGGGAAATTATTATACAGTGCTGTGTCTCCTTTTTTCAATATTGCGTTCGTTACAGACGTGTGGCGAGCATTGACAGTCTACGTAATTGATTGATAACATAATCATTTGGCGACAAACCTCAACAGTGACTGCAGAAAACTTGCATTAGACCTGTGCCGTCCTCAAACACCTGTCCAATGAGCTATGTCCAGTAATAGTGAGGCTCTACTTGACTCGACTACACGAATAAGGTGAGGAAAAGATAGTTTCTCATCGGTGACGTCTTCCGAATTTTCTTTAATTGATCGGATCCAGAGTCAGCTCAGCCCTTGACAAGTCGGTAGGCAAGAAGTACCTCACCGACGGTAGTTCAGAAACATGTTGGACGTCCCAACAGGTACGTCTGGCTTGTCCCTTTTAACTGTAATATTGGTCACATAAGTATTTGCTTGAAAGGGTCTCCCTCAATATATTCATGTTTTCTTTGAGTCTGCGGTCATCCCGCGAACAGTCCATCTCACTTTTCAAGGCGGATTCGTTGGAAAACGATGCCTTCTCCAGATTTTACCTTCCTCCGCGGGAGAAGAAACTCCTGCTCTGAAAGATCTGACGACAGTTTTTCCTGAAGATGTCAACAGAAAACAGTTTTTCGAACTACCAGAAACGGGACCCATCGAACAGCTGAAACTCATATTCGAGGAAAGCTCTGATTTCTTCGGTCGAATCACTGTCTACGATATCCAAATAGAGGGCCAGCCCGCTGCAGAAACCCAGGCTGAAGAAATTTAATAATGTGCAACAATAGACCTATCCCTCCAACCTGCTTCTACTTCTTCGTCTCTTCCCAACTAATCGGAGGAAGTGGTAGATCCGGGTTGAAATGCAGTTCAGGTGCTTGTCGCGTCGTCATCATACGTTCCTTGCCCCTACGCCATGACTCCAGCCATTCTCCATTATCCTTTCCCATGTTCCCGCTCCTCGCATCGTGCATGTCTATCTTCTCCCAACCCTCCTCTGTGTCATCATAATGCGTTCCAGCGGTTACAGTGGCATTTTCCAAGTCCCGCGGTCGGATTTCGCTCATGTCTCGACGGTACAGGTTTTCCTGGCTCTCGTTCACGACGGCTGACTTTTTCGACGGACGGAGGGCTGATAACTGGGCATTGGAGTTCATACCGCGTAATACGCCTCCTCGCACGTATATGAAAACGCATAGAATGATGAGGATTATGATTACGACGGCACCAGCAGCGACTCCAGCGATTGTCCGCGTCGTCATAGCTGGATTTGTCCCCTCCGCGTGCTTCAGGTTTGGAAGAATTGATGCGGCGCTGGTAACACTCGCGAATGCGCTCGAGGAATAGTCGGTAGCAGAGAAACGAGAGGTGCTAGTCGTGGGGAGATGGCGCACGGTGGTCGTGGATCCCGCACTAGATGTCGCCCCTTCAAATGTGAGAGGGACTATCGTAACACCGCTCGACGAGTCTTCGTCTGATATTGTTGTGATCCATGTATTCTGGGCAGCAAGCGCTGTCCATGAGTCCGACACTCCCGCGGTGTGCAGATCGTCGGTATTTGTCGAAGAAGACTGCGCACTCAGACTTGGACTTCCTGGCATGGCCGATTGCAGATCGTCATCACCGGTTGTCGCCAATTCAGTCGCCGTATTCGTTAATCGCGACATTGCCGATCCAGTATCTGTCGACTGCGTTGTTGTTGAGGACATTACTGACGACGATGAGGTACATGGTAAGATTGAAGGAGTGGGACCCGATATTTGGGCTGAGTTCGCTGGCACGTCAATGCTCAACAGTGATGAAACTGGTACTAGCGCTGATCCTATTTCCGAAGGTTGGTCTAGTATTTGGGGGTGTATTTAAAAGTGCCTTGTTCTCACCTTGCAGCGTGCAATATTCAGCTAGATTCCCATTATCAATCGCTGCTGTTTGCGAAGCAGACGAAGTTGCCAATATCTCCTGTCCATCACGCTTCCCAATAACGGCTGTTGGTGCCCTTCCGCCTATCTTACGCACCCGAGTGTCGAAGAACATCCGTACGAACTAGTATTAGAAGGATTGACGAAAGCTGTTGTCCGATTAACGTCTGTTCAACGGAGATAAAGCGTGAAATAGTTGTTTCCGGGCCTGCCCGTCTTGCAAAACAATAATGAAAGGCGGTAGTTCGATGAAAAAGCGGAACGGCCTGCGCTCGCTACGAGTCGTGCGATGTGAAAAGGGGAGACATTGCTTCCCAGCCCTGGATTCGTGCCGAGCGTGGACGCGTACGCACATTCAAGTTCAGACTGGCGAAACTCAAGTCGGAGGCTCGAGACATCTGCCACCAGCAACTAATTTGTGGTCTGACGGGATACTCAATAGTACAAGAAGTTTGTTTCTCCGTTCAGACCTTTGCGGCCGACCGTTGTGAGCCAAAGATGTCGAACACTGGCTAGAATACGTGCCTGACCACTAGTACTGCTGTTCCGAGGTAACGATCTCTGACCGTCAGCTTGACTCTGGTTGATCCCAAACAGTCTCAGATGCACTATGACCTATGTGTATGCATGAAGTCCAATTCCGCACTCTTGTTTGGATGCTATGTGGCAGTGTTACCATTTTCATGGGCTTGTTCACCGTCATAACCTGTGGCACCAACGAGGAATACAGCATAGGTTAAGCTTATAATGTGTTTTATTATTTCTATTCTATGAGAGTACTCTGCACATGCTACTGAAATACTTCTGGGGTACACACTGTTCTACAAACAGTGTTTCTCCTTAAGTTAATTTGCAAATTCCAGCCAACATCCCGTCTCTTTCAAGCCCCTCCTTGCTCAGTCTCACTAAGACAAGGCTGCTTTCTCGACCTCAGATTTAAGTGTTTCGAGTTTTGACTTATATTCAGGATCATTTTTGTTGAGTTGAATTTCAGTGAGTCTGCTACTAAATCCCTCCCAGTTGGCCGTTGATCCCCCAAGTTGTGAGCCGTACCCGATAGTTCGTTCGATCTGCGACTCAATAGGTCCACTGGCGTCTGGTTGATGTTTAAGCACTACAGTTGGATCCCGCTTCATTCCTGGTGGATGAGAATCAGTTCGAGAACTACGGCGTTCCTTGTCTTGACTTGCCATATTTGCTGATAGAGTGTGTGTGGTTTACGTGAAGAGTGAAATACAAACGGGGCGGTATGGTCCTCCTTTATAAAGACAACTTGTACAGCTCAAAGCAAAGTATGATGGATAGAATCCACCCATTCTCACAGGTACACACCTTTGCAAATGCATTGCCCCCAATTTGGTACTATGAATTTATGAGATCATGATTTGTTCTGCTGCCACGGATATATTTACAATTTGCAATGATTCCTTGGTAGATAATCATGTGCTTCTTTGAACCTCACTAGATACACCATATTTTTGGGCCTGAACTCGTATAAATAGTTTCTGGTATTGAAGTATTAGTAGAGCCTCCGTTTTTTTGTTCTAGTTATCCAAGAAAAATATTCAGTAGCACTACATCCCTGTGCTTTCTGTGTCACTAGTAGGAGAATTGGGTGAAAAGGGAAAAGGCGTAGTTGGTGGGCAACGACATAAAGAATGTGTCTGTCAGATACAATCTAGATGTGCGTTCGTTGGAGACAGCTTCAGATATTGGGAATACATAGCACCAATGCTTTAAACCTAATACGCGTTCAGTTTGGGCAAAGGAAGGAAGCTCTCATAAAGTTTCCATACTCCTGCTTAAAGCCAATTTGATAGACAATATTAATACAGGGAAGAATCAAAACGCATTTTTATTGTACAGAGTTTCTGTAACATTTGCAAACGTACGTAAATCAAGTGCGCTATGTAAAAATGGAATACACAATGTAGTGGGTCGTTCATAGAGAGAATGCATTGCCTTGGTTCGACGATTTGTCTTTTTTAAGCATCGTACTTTTGATTTAATATGCTAATCAGACAACGTTCTTGAGTTGAACGAAAGATAATCAACGTACCACAATCTGGAGGGAACCAGGCCAAGGCGTAACGTTACCTGTGCTCGACAGGTACATCTTGTTATCGGTCTACACAAGCACAACGTCAACATTTCTTTCCTTTCTCAAGAATTCATTCGGAGAGATAAATACCCACCTCGAATTGATTCAGGTTGAAGCTGGCACAGACGCCCGCAGGTGGTACTGCACGACGAACGTTCGGCAAGCTAAAGATGATCTTGACAATCTGCGGGATCGTATCCGCCGCAAAATCAACACCGGGACAGTTGTGGAACCCTGCACCTTGCAGTTGGTAGCTGTCCTTCTTACGGGTTGGATCGATCTGCGTTGGGTTCGGGAAGTCCGCAGGCTGCAAAGAGGAAAGAAAAAGGACAAGTTTAGCAGCTGCTTCGTAAAAGCTGTGGTAGACGGTAGCAAGAATGAACTTACGTTAAGGTGTGCGTTCTTGAAGCTTGCGAAGAGTAGGTCTCCCGCCTTAACTTGCATCGGCTGGAATCCATCACCCTGCGGTACGGTGTCATCCTGCATAACAGCACGGAACAAACCTCCGAACTGCGGGTTCAACCTCATCGCCTCACGCACGTAGCCCTTCAGCAACTCTTCCGCCTCCCCATCGTTCCTCTTGCACAACTCAATAATCTGCGCACGCTCCTTCGCACGTTCGTCGGAAAGGTAGAAGTCAATCACTTGCGCAGTTGCTTGTGCGTAGTTGACGGAGGAGCCGACCGCGAGACCAATTACACATCCAACAAGCTGGTTTGTCGGTCTGCCAGAACTTGCAAGACGAGCAAGGAAGTCATGGCATTCTTTGTGGTCGGGAACGACTGTGTGTACCACCGTCTCTCCTAGACGTCCAAGAAGGCTCTGATTGATAAAAGTCAGTGACTATAAGTAGACGTAGGTGCGAGCAGAAACAGCATACAGAAGCAGTGTGAGGTGCAGCGTCGGCAAGACTTTTCTCGATGAGACCATTGACAATCTTGCCAACTTGTTGTGCGCCTGAACGAAGTGCCCATCCGTGTTCCGGGGCAATATTCTCAAACACGCACATGAAGAGGATAGTGAACATGTCATAGACTTCCTGTTCGGTGAAGAGACCATGAGGATTCGCCTTTGTCTTCAGCGGGATACCGCACTGTAATCGAATTATCAGCGTTACTGAACAATGCATGAACATAGGTCCAATTCACAAGTTTGTCCGCAGCCCAGTGCACCGAAACGAGGTTGACAACGTCCCGAATGACATCTACGTACGTCCCAGGAACACCGTCGTATTTCATCTTCTTCTCCTCGAGCATCTGTCTTGTCTTTGTCTTGTACCACTCCACATTTTGCTTGTAGGTATTCATATCCGGGAACAATGCATGCCATACGAACGACCTATCCTCACTGTGCTTCTTCTCCTCGTCAAAGACGAGCATGAAGCCATATCCCTCAGTGAGCATAACCATGTCTTGCGTGTAAGTCTGCTTGAACTTCTTGGAGTCGTTGAAGACGTAACGAATACCCATGAGTGTGTTGAGCACCTTCGGAACGGGTGTCGCCACAGGTCGGTTGTATTTGTACTTGTCGGCAATTCCGAGTTTCGCGAGGTTTTGCTTCGTAACGTCAGGCGTGAAGAAGGGGAACAATCCATAGACATTATCCTAAACAGTATCAAGTCAATTATTGCTTGCCGATAAAATGATAGGATAGTCCTTACGGCAGGATAATGCCTCGGGAGGTGACGCATGAGCAACTTCGGCAACGCAGCACCAAAGGCTCCGTTATTGGGGTCCCGTACACAATCCTGAATACCCCACGAAGTGAGGTTATGCGGTGTATAATCGATCGTGTAAAACCTGTCCCCGCGGACAAGCGCAATCGCATCCGCCAGAATCGCACGCGTCATTGTGTATCCACAGCAGATTCCACTTCCGGGACCCAGTCCCATGCAATCTTCAGCTTGCAGACCAGGGTAAAGCTCAAGGTTGTCAATATGTCCATACAACTGGCGTGCAGCCTGAACAATTTCGGGTATGGAGCTCCATTCTTCAAAGTCAGAGAAGGTCTTGAGACCGAGGAATTTGCGGAACTCGTTCATGGTGCAGACGCCCCATGCACGGGCCTGTTGCATACCCATAATCTCAATGACACGCAGTTCTTCGGGAATACCACGTGCACGGTATGCACCCGCGCACTTCTCCGTTGCATCATGCAAGATCTTCGCGAGGTCGTCGTCGGAGAATGTCCCGTCCGCCTGACGCTTAATTCTGCGCAAGATAGTGTTAGCTTATCTTAGATAATAAAATAAATCCAAGAACTTTGCAACTTACCCTCCGAACTCACGCTTCTTCGGGTCAGGCTCAGTAGAAGCAAACACTTTGACCGCGGCCTCTTTGAAGTCGGACAGGCTAACCTGATTGAGAGCCTTGCCACCGAAGAGTTCGTTGAACTCTGCTCTAGTCCATTCGATATCCTCCTTCGCAGTCGTAGCATGCCAGCGGTACAACACGTTAAACTCCACTGAACAATGATTGCCTTGTCCACGGTTAACGACCTCACCCTGCTCTGTCTTGATGGGGTCGAACGGGTTCATGCTCCATGTACAGCCATCGCGCCCAAGACCGAGGAAGCCCGCGACGTAATCACCGAAGATAAGTGAGATGAAGTGCCCACAGTTGACAAGTCGCGCAGTTTGGAAAATTTCCTCGTCCTGCTGCGCACGTTTCTTTGGGTCCTCGGGTGGCGGATCCGACCAACGCTTCCGTTCGTTGATCTTCAACAGCATATCTGCGATGTACTAAATTTGGATATCAGCAATGATCTGAATACTCTAAATATAGAATACTCGCGTTGTGGTTCCTGCTGAAAATGACGAGTAATGCACTTGCTGCGGGTGGAACGAAGCCCAAACGATCCTCGCTGACCGTGTCGGGGTACAAGAGTCCGCGACCCTTCTCCTGGTCGCGTACTTGGTCCTGTGTCAGCTGGTTGAAACCATACAGAGGGGAGAGATCTAAGTATGATGTCGTATTGTTCTTTGTCCAGTCGGCAGGATCAGTTCGGAACAGCGAGTGTGTTACGATTGAAGCAAATGCAAATGTCAAGGAAGAGTTTCGACCGGGGTGTTGTTGAAACTGGCATGATTTCATCAGTAAAATAATGAAAGGAACGTTATACACTAAATGACAGCTTACGTCGCGAACCTTCAATATCATGTCGAAAACCAGACCAGGATCGGGGAGGGCATTCGCGGGGAGCGGATGCTTGCCTTGTACAGAGCGAGCATACGGCGTGCCGGATTTACCAAGTTCAGGCATGTTGGGGTTGTTCCCACTGCCATCTGCACTACGGAACTGATATTCTGGACCAATGTACGTTGCAGGCGGGTGCGGAAGCGTATCATACAACAATGCGATCGCCGCATCATTCAGCTTGTCCTGTACCTTCCCAGGAGGAAGCCTTGTGATGGCACCAAGCGCGCCAGTGAATAAACCGGTGCGGTCGTCGATGGCATCTTTGCTCGTCAGGAAGTTGAAGATTGCTTCGGGGGCCTTCGGGTCGCTGATGACTGGCCCTCGACCAACCGCCGCCTGGGCATTCGCAACGAGGTTGTAAACAACAGAGTGTGCTTGGCCAGCTCCTCCGGCACCGGACTCGCCGGCTGCAAGAGCTTCATAGTCATAGTGCCCATCGGGAGCTTTGGGAAGTGAGCGTGCCGCAAGGTGCGCAAGCTCCGCGTCAGTCTGCACGATAAAGTCTTAAGCGTCTATATATGGGCGGTATAGGATACATATACACTCACCACGACGGCGGTCTGGGTAAGATCAACTGGTGGTTTCGACATATCGAGTGGAAGAGAGTATGGGGACAATTTGTTTCATTGCCCATCCTTTTATATTCTTCTCAAACCGGTAGGTCAACGTTGAACAGAATCAGATTGCGCTCCGTCTGAGACGCCGTGCTTACACCGCGCAGATCGCGATATAAAGTAAAGATAGGAGAATAAGGCAAGGAAGAGTCCTCCGGGGGCAACGCTGTCCCGACATAGATCAAATGATACATGATACAGATCGGGATGCCGCCCTGGATGGATAGGATCAGAGAAGGGAGAAGTGGATATTGATTCCGTCATCGCTTCAGATTCCTGGCTGTGCGCTCACTTGACAGTTGTTCCCAGACGCGGAAGCAGCTCTTGAAACTAAAAGCGGGACTAGCAATGCCCCGCAACTGTTGGAGAAGCTGCACACGTGACCCTGAGGCGTTTTATGTCACGCGTTACAGCTTCGGGATGGACCAATTGGATGCACCGTATTTCCTCCAGCATGACCACTAGACCAAAACCCATTCACCGCAGCTATTTAATTCCATTCTTCGCGAATCTCGCTATTCGGATAGATGACATCGAATGTACCGTGAACCGTTGACTGCTGACGGGTTTGACACATACTACGCATGCTGCTATTCTCTGTTTTCGGCCTTTAACGACAAGGTGTCCTCAAATTCGCCGCGTAGACCCGCACGAGGGCACTTGTACACCAGTCAGTATATGGATCCGCAAGGTACCAGAGAACTTGTATACGCCACTCGACTGTGACAATACCTCAAGCCATAATCTACATAATTTATTTCCGCATCTCCGCAACCATCTGCCTGTCACTCGGAAGCAACTTCTTTCACCACTGCGGCTTCGATTCTGAGTCTTTCGGCCCGAATATGTATTGAAAGAAGAAGCGATCTCGCCCGGTCTTGTGGCTCATCAAATATTTTGAATCAATAAATTTAACAAACAGCTTGGAAGACCTTTGCGTTCGTCTCGCTTACTTCATATCTCTTGGGTCTCATGGCTGTCTCGTGTTTCTAGTTAGCACTATGTATGTACTTCTACTCATTCTGCAAAGTTTTCACCACTCGCACAATCTAAAATGCTGGACTAAAGGAGCTTCTGGCCCGGCACTCAAAGCGAACAAGCAGATAAAGGTACTTATCATAGCTTATTCGTTGCGGGACTAACGCAGACAGATGACATCCACCCCACCCTGATATTAATTTAAAGCTTCTTCGCTGCTTGGAAGCTTCGATGAGCGCCTGACATCGTGCCTTACTGGTATCTGACATTGAGACACATGATGCCGATGACATTCTTCGAAGTCGACGATGTACCTCGTCTTGCCCTTCTTTTCTCCACAATCTCCTTCGATCTATCGCCCATATTCACATGTCTCTATCGTTCACATGCATACATTGTACTGGCGGCGTCGAGACGCACAGTACTCGACATGCATAAGTCCTCTCATGTCAACACGGCTAATAAGGGGAAGAAAGTTAAACATGTCTCGCGCGTTGTACGTATTCTGCGGGCGAGCTGAGCTATTCACACTGTAGCATTCTTTTAATTGAATGCTTGGAAGCTAGCTAGGCTCCGCATATTGGAAATCGCTCAAGTTATGCGGGGCACATGTTCCTTGACTTCTGGTCATCAAGGCTCAGTAATGCTATAAAGGATGTCTTCCAAGTATACCGCTCATATGCAAGTGTGCATGCACATTGCTGGAGGTGGGTTCCTTTGCGGATCCATCATCTCTTCACCGTATAGCTATACTATCTCTCAAAGCAGAAACGCGTTTACCGAGTTAGCGATAAAGGTACACATAAAATTTCCGCTTTGCGTCGTCTCCATTGATATTGTGTCACTTGGCATTTATTTACGTTGCGCGAGTGGACAGACTAACATACAACTGCTACCTTAATACGCTGACGTATCTTATTAAGTAGTGCAATACCATTTGAGCTTGCTTTTTTATCCATTGAGCAGTTCTATTGAGCAAACTAGCACCATTCACATAAAATCGACTGATGCACTTATTACCCCAAACTGACACAATCTAGTCAAAAGATTATAGCGTATTTCCTAGTTTGAAAGTGCTACAAGCAATGGTATTGTGTCGGCAATCCCAGATTATATAAAGTCTGCTACTACCTAGGCTTTAAGATCTAAAGGACTTTGCAAACGCAATCCCGGACAGATATGTCCACCCCAAGCCATCATCCCCACCGTCATTCTAATCAAGACAGACAGAGTACTACACATAGAAGACAGACAAATGGCAGAAAAGCACAGGAGGAGAAGGAGGAGGAACAAATACAGAGGTACCTTAATGAAGTTAAAAAGAAAGCTAATGAACATATTCAAAAGGCTGAAGAGGCTCTTAAGAAGCTTGAAGATGAAGGTTTCACACTAGCGACCATGGATACGGTTGAAAATACAGCAAAGGACCTCAGTGGCATTCTTGTAAGGTGCACGAAAGCGGAAAAACGGGTAGCCGAAACGTATAAACAAGCTTGGAAAGGGAGACTTAATAAGGCCTCCAGTGCCAGTGATCAGTGGGGCTCCTCAAGAACTCTGAAAAATGTTGAAGATTTTAGGAATAAAGCTTGTAAGGAAGAAGACTTAATACAGCACATAAATAACACGCTTTTGCCGTTGATCATTAACGAATATCAGACCCTGATTGCAGAAGATAAAATTTTATAGTAATGCAAGTATTAGAAATGCTGATTAGGGCGCTACAAACTGTTGATACAAGGTCAGGACATGGGGGCGGGATTGATCGAGTAGGTAGCAATATTGAATGGTCACAAAAATTATCGTATCATGTTGCGAATGAATAGAACAGAACAGAATTAATATATCTGACACATGTTTGGAGACATTCTTCTATTTCTCCACGACTTCTCTCGATCGTTTATAAGCATAGAATATTAGGTGTGGTCAAACCTCGCGATTCTCTGCACGATTCACCCCGCGATTCTAGAGAGTGAATCGCAAGGTGAATCGCACGTGCAGGTTTGACCAGCACACTTGTACATGCATGATTCACCTCAATATACCGACCCTTGATCTTAAAATTACATAATATAAAATTAAAGAAATAGTTTTTTTTCATGTATATACATTTGGCCATGTTAAGAAGGACTTGATATGTGTGCAGTGATGTGCAAGAAGATGACAGAGCTTGGTAGCAGAGAACACAAGGATTTTTTGCAGAACAGAGGACAGTATGTATACTGTAGTACTTACAAGGAAGAGGCAAATCATCTTACTGTTTTTGGAATTTAGAGGTGAAAAGAAGCTTAGTTTTATTTTTGTAATACATGTACATATTTGGAAATAGATATGAGTAGAGGTGAATTGTAGGGGTGAATTGTGTCAAAGTACAATTCACCTTTCAGTGTGATTCACCCCAAATTGCTAGGGTTCTGGGGTCTGTAATTCACTTTACATGAAAGTGAATTGCACAGGTGAATCACACACTGAATTGCAAGGTTTGACCATGCCTATTACTGTCTTCTGAGCTTTTATGTGTAGCTTGATGTATGTATGCTCTCCAACTCTGTCTCCATCTCCAACTGATTCTGATTATAGCTTTTGTAACAGTCTCAAGTCAAGGAGTAGCCTGAGTGTAGGACATGAGATGGCAAGCATCTCTAGTTTTAGATTACACAAACCCTTTGATTCAAGTATGCACCTGTTTGTAATAGTTACAGCTGTTTGCAAAAATATTGGCTGTAGTATAGTTTATATGATTTTTTTTTACAAAGTTGCAAAATACAGAAAAAGTACTATAACTTGCTCAAATCTTGATAGACTTGCTTCAAATAAGTTGCTAAATTCATGTTTCTAATAGTAGAATATATTTATCAAATTAGTTTTTAATTATCTCTTTTTCTTGTCTTGTGAAAACTGAAATACATAGATTTTAACTGTTTTTCCTTGTATAATTTTTCCTAGTCTCAAATCTGAACATATAGGCTTAAAAGACTGTTTATTCTAGTTGGATACATTAATAATTAATTTACATACTAAATTTACTATGAATAGATTGCTTATTCTGTTTTATTGAGAGGGGTCTAAAATGTGTAAAACTGACTATTTTACCCTAGTTTCCCCTACAGTTAATATTTTTTTTCAGCCTCAAACTGTATTCTTAAATTAAATATAAATGTATTAGAGTAGTTTACAACAAGTTTCATGTAAATATGTTCAAAATTGAGCTCAGAACAAA